TGATGAAAACCTGCTCCAGAGCGCTCAGGACCTCAGACTGGGGCGAAGGTTTACCTTCCAACATTACAATGACCCTAAGCACACAGCCAAGGCAACCCAGGAGTGGCTTCGGGAGAAGTCTCTGAATGTCTTTGAGTGGCCCAGCCAGAGCTTGGACTGGAACCTGATCAAACATCTCTGGAGAGACCTGAAAATAGCTGTGCAGCGACTGTCCCCGTCCAACCTGACAGAGCTTAAGAGGATATGCAGAGAAGAATCTCCCCAAATACATTTAAATAATTTAGCAGACACTCTTATCCAGAGTGACTTACAGTTAGTGAGTGCATACATTTTCATACTGGTCCCCCGTGGGAATCGAACCCACAACCCTGGCGTTGCAAGCTCCATGCTCTACCAACTGAGATACACGGGATGTGTCAAGATATAGAGTCATACCCAAGAAGACTTGAGGCTGTATATGTGTATGTGTATATATATATATATATATATATATATACACACACACACACACAGTGGGGAAAAAAAAGTATTTAGTCAGCCACCAATTGTGCAAGTTCTCCCACTTAAAAAGAGGAGAGAGGCCTGTAATTTTCATCATAGGTACACGTCAACTATGACAGACCAAATGAGAATTCTTTTTCCAGAAAATCACATTGTAGGATTTTTAATGAATTTAATTGCAAATTATGGTGGAAAATAAGTATTTGGTCAATAACAAAAGTTTCTCAATACTTTGTTATATACCCTTTGTTGGCAATGAGACAGGTCAAACGTTTTCTGTAAGTCTTCACAAGGTTTTCACACACTGTTGCTGGTATTTTGGCCCATTCCTCCATGCAGATCTCCTCTAGAGCAGTGATGTTTTGGGGCTGTCGCTGGGCAACACGAACTGTCAACTACCTCCAAAGATTTTCTATGGGGTTGAGATCTGGAGACTGGCTAGGCCACTCCAGGACCTTGAAATGCTTCTTACGAAGCCACTCCTTCGTTGCCCGGGCGGTGTGTTTGGGATCATTGTCATGCTGAAAGACCCAGCCACGTTTCATCTTCAATGCCCTTGCTGATGGAAGGAGGTTTTCACTCAAAATCTCACGATACATGGCCCCATTCATTCTTTCCTTTACACGGATCAGTCGTCCTGGTCCCTTTGCAGAAAAACAGCCCCAAAGCATGATGTTTCCACCCCCATGCTTCACAGTAGGTATGGTGTTCTTTGGATGCAACTCAGCATTCTTTGTCCTCCAAACACGACGAGTTGAGTTTTTACCAAAAAGTTATATTTTGGTTTCATCTGACCATATGACATTCTCCCAATCCTCTTCTGGATCATCCAAATGCACTCTAGCAAACTTCAGACGGGCCTGGACATGTACTGGCTTAAGCAGGGGGACACGTCTGGCACTGCAGGATTTGAGTCCCTGGCGGCGTGTTACTGATGGTAGGCTTTGTTACTTTGGTCCCAGCTCTCTGCAGGTCATTCACTAGGTCCCCCCGTATGGTTCTGGGATTTTTGCTCACCGTTCGTGTGATCATTTTGACCCCACGGGGTGAGATCTTGCGTGGAGCCCCAGATCGAGGGAGATTATCAGTGGTCTTGTATATCTTCCATTTCCTAATAATTGCTCCCACAGTTGATTTCTTCAAACCAAGCTGCTTACCTATTGCAGATTCAGTCTTCCCAGCCTGGTGCAGGTCTACAATTTTGTTTCTGGTGTCCTTTGACAGCTCTTTGGTCTTGGCCATAGTGGAGTTTGGAGTGTGACTGTTTGAGGTTGTGGACAGGTGTCTTTTATACTGATAACAAGTTCAAACAGGTGCCATTAATACAGGTAACGAGTGGAGGACAGAGGAGCCTCTTAAAGAAGAAGTTACAGGTCTGTGAGAGCCAGAAATCTTGCTTGTTTGTAGGTGACCAAATACTTATTTTTCACCATAATTTGCAAATAAATTAATTTAAAATCCTACAATGTGATTTTCTGGATTTTTGTTCCTAAATTTGTCTGTCATAGTTGACGTGTACCTATGATGAAAATTACAGGCCTCTCTCATCTTTTTAAGTGGGAGACCTTGCACAATTGGTGGCTGCCTAAATACATTATTTCCCCACTGTATATATGTAGGATCTTCATTTGATCGCCCTGTTGCAGGATAACTTTCCCGCAATGCAGGAATTGTTTTTATTTGTAGTGTATTTGTGGCTTAAAAAGGCCACTTTGAAATTTCAGATTTGATTTTCCCTTACAAAAAAATTATCCACACCTACAAAAATGCCCATTAATTATAATCCACATAATAATTCACATTTCCTTTTGCTGCAGGATTATTTTCCTGCTGTAGCAAACTGGCTCAAATTAAGATCCTACATCTGTATAACATTCCCATTCTGTTACTCCAACCCCTGAGTTGTTCCCCATAGATCAGCTTGGCACAAGCTTGGCAGCGTCCCTGATGACACTGTTTAGCTGAAGCTTATTTTTTTCATTATGCAAATCTTATCGTAAAAAGTTACATTTTCTGTGGTATAAACTTTCAGCTGGTTATCTCATTGCCTGCACGGACTGGTCCATCCTTCTTAATACAGAGCAGTGTTAATATTACTAAAGCAACGATGGTGAAGTGGTTAGTTTAGCAGTATTTAGCCTGTTGGTTTTGTATGAAGTGGTTAGTTTAGCAGTATTTAGCCTGTTGGTTTTGTATAAAGTGGTTATTTTAGCAATATTTAGCCTGCTGGTTTTGTATGAAGTGGTTATTTTAGCAGTATTTAGCCTGCTGGTTTTGTATGAGAGTGACTTAACTTGAACTTCCTTTTGAAAGACTGCTTCTAAAAGCTTATGTAGGTCAGCTGTGGGAGATGTAGTCAGGCTGCTGGGTTCAGACTACTGTCCTATTTGAGGGAACGCTCCACCTTGAAGTGACATTAACTGTTATGCTCAGACTATAACTTTCTCTTTGAAAGCTAATACAGACATTGAGAGCCCAGTTTGAAGTTTTCATTAGCCTTTTTTTCTCCTTGCCCCTGTGATTTCGAAGAATGTCCCTGTGTTGAATTTGGCGTTTGGGAGGCTCTCTCTGGAAAAGTGTGGTAATCCATGGATGTCTGTTGATTTTTCTAATTGGCGATGTGGTTCTACTCTGACATGGGGAAAGTACACCAGGATGTATGAGCTGTAAGGAGATAGGCTCAGTGGTGGTCAACGTCTCATGTCAACATAGACAGAGCATAAAAACAACTATATTTTATTTTCTACTTTATAGAAATTCTATGGATGAAACAGAGCAGTCCAGTTAAGAAAGGCAGTTTATTTTTCAAGTTCCACCAGTACGCTTCTTCAACTGGAAAACACTATCACTCTAGCTACCCTAAGTGAAAAATGGCAAGGACATCTTTTTTTTTTATAAAAAAGGAACAGAACTTCTGTTTTTATTATTGAAACTAGATACAGGAATGAAAGTATGTTTGAAAAAACAACAGTACAGTTTCATGTGACAAACATTTTCCATACAAAATAAGCATAAAAACACTGATCTGCAAGCGCATGGAGCCAAAAGTGTATTTCTGTACAAAACTAAGAAATCATTCAACAGGACTCCTCTCTGTACCATTTATCAAGGCTACTAAGAAGATAAGATATCTCTCTTATTTTCCAACATGATATAATACAACGTGTTGTATCAGAGGTTGTAAAATGTTGCCAGAGGAACACTGAGAAGTATGAATGGTCGCTTTAAGGGACGTGTCTTTGCAAAAGTTAGTTGAAAAAATACTTTCTCTCCATATACATATAAATACATTTATGCTGTGCAAATTGCAAGTGTAAAGACCTCCCATGCATTGCCACCCCATATATCAGGGCTACTGAAGGAGAAATATTGGTTTGGTACAAGACCTCCTCTGTGTGTATGAGTTTGTGGATGTGTGTTTGCGTGTGTGCTTATTTTCCTATGCTTGTTTTTGATTTTAGGTGACAGCGAGGGGAAAATGCAGGTGCACCATGCGCCATAGCTCGGTCAACATTCATACAATGAACGTTACTGGCACAGGAGATTGGTGGCACCTTAATTGGGGAGGACGGGCTCGTGGTAATGGCTGTAGCGGAATTAGTGGAATGTTATCAAATACATCAAATACATGGTTACCATGTGTTTGATGCCATTCCATTTACTCTGTTCCAGCCATTATTATGAGCCAGCCTCCACTGGTTACAGGATATGTGTGAGAGTGGACTTCATGTTAATATATACAGCATTATCTTCTCTGAAGGTGTATTATGAACTAGGGCTGGATTCAACTTGTAGATTTAGAGATTGCGCGATCGAAATGTAAAGGTCATTTCCGATTGAGCCGACATATGCAGCGTTTACCATGAATGCAGTCTCCACTAACACGGGAATGTTGCCGTAACGCTGAACTTCAGTGATACGGATTGAATAGAACCCTAAGACTGACCAATCTATGGAACAATTCTTGCACCATGAATCAGTCACTGAATGAAACCATGAAATTCTGTCAGGTTGTCTGAAACTCTACAACTCGTACTGTACAGCAGAAGCGTTGCATTATAACCCATTTCCTAGAACTCGGAACATGGCATCAAACACTTTGATAAATAATATTATACACGTTATCAAAATAAGTTTCAGGGAGCCAGCTTCCCATTATTTCAATAAAAATTATATCTACTGTATGCTTGTTACCTCACACTGTTTGTTAGAAGTTTCTCCATCTATCTCATACTATGTTGTTTTTATCAGTTTGCCTTTTTGTCATGTTTGATAAATAAGATGAGATAAAGCTATTACATATGGACATAATATTTCCCTGACACGTAGATCATGTACACGTTTTTACATGGCTGTGGTTCAGAGGCGGCTGGATGGGGGATATGTAGCATCCAGAGACTGATGGGATGCGTGGAAGGACCCCTCCTGCCACCTACCTAGACGGTTTTATATTTATATTCTTCGGGCTTCTCCACAGACAGCTTTGGGGGGTCCTACCATTTGCCAGGAATGGGCGTTCCACACTCGTACCATGACACGTAGGTGACGTGAGAGTTCCGTCCTATCTGACCAAAGTTGACAGGCTCTTGTCTCATAGCCCTGTAATACCCTGTATGTGACAGACAAAATGAAGTGAGGGGCTGAACTTTGAGTCATTTTAGACATTGTGAAAATGTAGTTGTTTTCAAGCATGGATATTAAGCATATTCTTAACAGGTTCGCATTTCAACAATTCAATGATAGATCTGTCGTTGATGTAGCCTGTACCTTCTCTTGCTGGCAGCTGGTCAGCCATGACTTGGTTTCCTGTCCTTCCATCGAGGAACGAGTCTACAAACTGACAGTGGTCCTCACCATGGCCAGTCTGGTCCCCAATGTTGTAAAATTTACCTGTAAAGTTATTAGGGATAAAAGTTGTCAAAGGGGATGGCAATTTAAACTGAGCAACAGTACTGTTCTGTACTGTACTGTACTATAGACATTGAGTGCCGGAAGCAGAACTGACCGTTGAGAGAATCACTCAGATAGATCTTGTATCGGAGGGAGTTGCAGAGCTGAATGCCCACAAACTTGCGGTACCAGGTCCTCTTCACGTACTGCTTGCCATTGCAATCCGAGTACGAGTCTGTCTTGAAGGGGAACTGGGTCCAGATGGCATCTTTTCCTACAGGAAAGAGTTAACAGAATATTAGAACGTGGAATATCAAAGGCATGAAGCATGAAACAAAGATAACAATTAAGAAAATAGAGCTGTGTAGAATCCTAAATGTATATATGCATTCCCAATCAAAGTTGTCTTTTTAGTGCATCACAGCCTTTTACTACTGATGAAATGAAAGGGAAAATAAAAATCTCTCCATTCATTTAGCTGTGTAAATGTTTGGTCTGGCTGTGAGTTGGGTGTGGAAGAAGTGAGCTCATAGATATTGGATGGAGAGCAGTGTACTGCTACACTGGGGCACTGTGGCCTGAGTCTCCACAGACTCTCCCTGTGCCAGGCATTAGATCATCCATTCATTCAGCCTGGTGGGACATGTCACCTGGGACCGGTGCTCAGGACAGACCGTAGAGCAGACTGGGGGGCTTACCTGAGACATTCTCACTCACACGTGGGTCCGCTGCAGGACGGAGGGATGGAGGGATGGAGGGAAAGAGGCAGAGAGAGATGTGAGTTAGTAAGTGCTTTCAAATGTCTTCTTCTCAGAATAGACTGTACAAATGGTTCCGAAATGAATTTTTTTATAACAAGTTGGTGATTCTCCAAAATAAAAGACCACAAAACCACACGCCCTGTAGCAAAGCCATACAAAATCTACGGCAAGTAATTTAGTCGACTTGATCCTGAGTCTTTGGCACTGGAGAGCCAGTGTGGTACGGTAGTGTGAGGCTCCAGGAGGCCCCGAGGGCAAATCATCTGCTTTCAAACTCCTCATCATCTTTCACATAGAGGGTAAGCCTTTGTGGGCCAATGAGGCCCAGCGGTGAGGTCCTTCCAGTAACACAAAAATGACCTGATTCGCTACTCGCCATGTATTTATGATACACTGTTGTATCAGTGAGTTTGGTTGAGTGTGCTGTGAGCTGCTATGCAGGATGAGGGAGAGCTGGCAGCCGGACAGCACCCCAGGGGTTGGAGGCACTTTACATGGAGAGGCAGCAGCCAATGTTATGGAAATAGAGGGGCCATGCTGAAATCATTAGGTTAATAACAGCTAGTTAATTACAGACCCCTACACCGGTAAGTGGTGGATCGCCAGACATGACTGGAGCTGGCAGACGAGGCTGTGTGTTAGTACGTTTGTACGTGCATATGTTAGTGGATGCTTATTTGTTTGTTTAACACCAAATGCCTGACCTAGTCAACAAATGGCCCATGCCAAAGGCCAGATGTGGCTCTTGAGCTTTTAACTGGCTCCTGAATAGGTAATGGTGTAAGTCAGCGATTCAACAAAACAACCAATTACCAAGTTCTTGTGTCGTTTAATGAGGTGTGTTAGTGCTGGGCTAGGAAGTTTCTTTGGCCCATACTGTACCTGATTCGGTGTTGAAGGACACAGGCTCACTGGGTGGCCCCGCTCCAAGCTCGTTCTTGGGTTTCACTTTGAACTCGTAGCTGTGAGGTAAGAGCAGGAAGTGTCACTATCAGAAGGTCTCACAGCGATCATCTAACCGACTCGCTCCAGATTCTAATTTCCGCTCCATTTCCAATTGCAAGCAATCATTTCCACAGAATCAGATTTTCCTCTTATCCTCACAGCATTTAAAGTGGACACTGTATCTTGATGGAAACGTGGTGTATTCTTGTTCAGCCTTGTGTTACAGCAAGGACAAATGAGGCTCTAGTATTGCCTCCCTATCTATCTCTTCTCCAGACAGTGCAGTCCAGAGAGCCAGGAGAGCCAGAGAGTCCCTTCCACTAATGTCTCCTCCATATGAGATGTTCAGACACAGCGATTGGTCCACCACGTGCCAGCAGCCTCAGCGGCCTCAGCTCACAGGAAGCCCTGGTTTATATTCTATCACTTCTTTAATGTCAAATAGTCCCATATTCAGGCTTCATTAAAAACCTAGGGAGCATAGCGGCCCTCCTCTGCTCACCTTCCTTCTCCAACTACACCAGAGAGAAGTGCAGGTCCTGATCTTAACCAGACGTAGCTAGCTAGCTAATCCTTCTGACAAAAGTAGTAATAATACAATTAATAATTCAAATGCTGTATTATTTCCATGAACGAAAGCCTTTCAGAAAGTTTAAGTTTCACAAACATTTACATTTTAGTCATTTAGCAGATGCTCTTATCCAAAGTGACTTACAGTAGCGAGTGCATGCATTCTCATACTTTTTCAAAGCACTGAAAAAAGCTACCATCTGAGGACAGAGAGAGAGCATAGCCAGAGTGAATACAATGTGTTGTATCAATCTGAGACACAAAGATGATGTGTTATATACCTGCTCTCTGGTTTGAGGTTCTCCACTGCAGTGTGAGTCTGGTTGGTGGTCAGGATGGAGACCTGAGTACCATCTGGTCCCTTCGTCGTGGAGATGACCTCATATTCTACAAGACAACCAGGAAATCACTGTTCAATTCAAGAATTCACCAAGTATCCAGGTATTCAGAGTCACACTTTGCAATGTATGTAGCTATGCATTTGCATTGTAGTTGGAGCACATAGACGGGTACAGTGTCCCACTCTCCCCACCTGTGGTGTCGTTGTCAGTCTTCTCCCAGTCTAGAATGATGAAGGAGGGGCATCCCTCCACCGTTACCACGGTGAGGTTGGAGGGCGGAGACTTGGGCGGGGCGGTCACGTTTGTCTGCCCGCCCTCCTCCTCTGGGAAGTAGTTGAGAGAGGAGGTGATGGAACAAGGCTCGTCTGGTTTCTTGTCCGTCTTGTAGACCACATGGGGTGCTTAAGGAAGAGAGATATCACATTTAATGGATCCCTGCGCTACTGGTTCAAAACAACCATTTAGTAACTTAGTATTTTCTGCTGGGGACAACAGAAGTCCATGATAGTTACAAGGAGTTTATTTTTATTTTTACTTACCAACAAAACGTTTCTTTCCCAATGCGTCCACGTCAGAGGCTGGCAAGGAGCTGAATAATGAAGAGTTCTCCCAGGTTTCAAACCAGATGTCTGTGAGAGGATGAGAAAAAAACAAGGAGATGCTTTAGAGCTCCACAAGACAAATGTAAGGCTCGTCCTCACACGGGGCACCAGTAAAGTAGGTTTTCTTCTTAAGACGTAATTTAGCTCTGATCAGTGAACAGTCATACCATTGACTGATGGTGCGGTCGTTGTTGTGTGTCTGCGTTCTTGCTTGGCAGGTTTAGACGTCACTGATGGAAACTTCTTCAAAATGGAGGCCTTGTCTGTTTGCTTCAAAACATTCAGCTTGTCTGTAGAGAACAGAGAGTTTGGCAAAGCACGTTGTTTTTCATGGCTTTCTAAAATATTTCTATATTTGCTTAGAGGAAAAGTGCCTTTCGAGGTTGTAAACATAAGCTCAGCCAAATGACAAACTTTCTGATGACAAAATACCCTTTCACTAATAGCTGGTGTATAATGGAGTTTTGAAACTGGTGTGTACACCAACATTTCAAGCAGTGGATGATATATAAACCAACTAGACCTTACCCATATCACCAGGTTTGCCAACCAGGTTGGTCTTTTTGTTGACAGGAATGGATGGACGAGATCCTGAAAAATAGAAATCAAAGGAAACAACAGTCAATCACATAATCACTAAACATTAGAATGTCTGAGATAACCATTTCTTTGTCTCTCTGATGGTGTTATTTGCCTTGAAGAGGTCATCTTAAATGAAAAACAATGTAACACTCTTTCGCCGCCACTTGTAGAATAACCCAAATACCTTCACCATTGTTGACACAATCAGCAATATCTAGAGAAATCCTACAGCAGGATTTCATCACGTATCTGACATCCGCCATCTGTCATACACTCTTAGAAAAAAGGGTTCCAAAAAGGTTAAAGGGGTTCTACATGGATCTCAAAAGAGTTCTACCTGGAACCAAAAAGGGTTCTCCTATGGGGACAGCCGAATAACCCTTTTAGGTTCTAGATAGCACCTTTTTTCTGAGCGTGTACATCATACTGATGACCATAATTATTTTGGCATTTATGCCTGGGAGGAACTCTATATGGACTGTATAAATAAATGGATGGGAAAACCCCATATCCTACGCCCAATGAACCTTAAAACATGAACAATCCTACATAATTCCTTGAGGTTTTACACATGTTCTGAAAGTTACCCAGAACTAGATGCTTAACCTGTTGCCAATTAGCGCTGTTGCATTGAGGCCAAATTCTTGACAATCAAGGAATTGTTCCCAATCCATAAGAAAATATGATAAATGCAAACCCCCAGTACATGAAAGCTGGTGTAGTTCTGAAACATTTTAGCTTGTAATATAAAGCAATATGGGTCCATTCCTTTCCATCAATTACACATGTATGAAATACTGCCAGTTTGCAGTTAGCACTGCTTTATTAAACTCTACAGTTTCTAGAAAACATGGTTCTACTTAAAAAGAAAAGCTTTCCTTAACTTTTTTCTTTCTCTCAATAGCATATGTTATACATTTATAAAACTGTAAGTCTACTGAAATCGGAGTAAGCATAGATATTTATCTGCAATGACAGTGTTCTACATAATCTTAAAACATTGCATTTTTCTAGCCACATGGAACCAACACAGATCAAGATTACAAATGTTCAACAGGGTACAGTACATGCAGTAAAGCATGGAAAGTGCCAAGCCACCACACACAATCATTATCGACTGCTGACTTATTCTGCCTTTGCACTGTGATCTGTCTACTCATGCAAAACTATTGGTCCACTAAATCTAGTTCATACAAGCACAAATCCGTAACCAAAAGCAAATATTGAATTCCCGTAGCTGATGAAAAAGCTGATGAGAGCCGTGCTCTCCTGATTGCATGATGAGTGCTCTAAACACTGGCACCTCCACAGTGACGCACTAGCCTGTGAAGCTTATTGTTCTTCTAAAGTCAATACTTGCAATCAAGCCAGAAGCATGTGGAACCTACCCAGGAAAATATATTAAAATAACATTTGAGCCGCCCTCCAAACCAAACATCAAGTTCATTACATGGTGGCAAGGCTATTATAGAACACTTTATTTCTTAACATGTGGTGAGAGAAAGTGCAAAGCTTGGTGAGGAACACGCCAAAATAAGGTTCTTAAAAATAAACTAACGACCTGCAGATGCAAACTTTCCAAAAAAAGGAAAGTATTTTCCAAATGCTTGGCTAAACTGAAGCCTTTGGTTGAATTCTTAGTGATGGCCGACCAGTGTTTTGATCAAAACAAGACTCTTAAAAAAATAAATATGTTTTTTACATCCAACATGGCCGACTCATGCAGACTGGGCAGAAATGATGGCGATGGGAGCTAGCGTGAGTCAGCGTGGGCGGGGCTAGCTTTGCGCTGGGTGCAGATAGACTGGAATCATGCCATTTTACCATAGAACTGGTCCTCAATGGAAAAGAAGCCTGAACGGCCCGAAACACCAGGGTTTATGTCCTCCAACAGCGAGTTGTTTGTGTTTGCTGCAGGAAAAGTACTAAGATTAATTCCTATTCCCAAACCTATTGTGTATTCGGGGGAAATGTGGAGTGTCTGAACATATCAATGAAGATCTTTCAAAGAATATTCCACTGTTTTGCATTATCAATAAAGACACAACCAGTTGACCATAACATGAGACAGACCACAGCCAGTTGACCATAACATGAGACAGACCACAACCATACAATGAAGTATGATAATAGACCACACCAACCACAGCTCATGCTCAATGAGGACAGTACAGGACTGACATGCATACAATCATGCACAGGGTGAACCCCAACCAAAAGTGGTGGAAAAAACGTTGGAACTCCTAAAAAGATAGGTTTCTGCAGCTCTACATTGATTTGACTTTGTTCAGCTTTATGAACGGCATTACGTATATTCCAGTTTGCCAGTTTGTGACAGAGAAACAGCATTGGTTAAGTAGCTCGGCATCTGAAGAGCCTGATCTTTGAAGGCCTCTGAAACTGCTTCAGTTTCCGCTTGGAAAACATGAACCGAGTTTCCCCACCACCATATTACACAGACCAAATGGGTACTAACACAGTCTTACTTCCCAAAAAGAGCAGTGATTGCTTAATACCCCTTTGATTACTCCTTGTCAAAAGCTTTTGAAGCCTGCAACAGCATTGAATCTGCAGAAGCTTGCGTTAACGGCAAGAACACCAAGACCCTTGGACAGATGGCAACACAACACATGGACAGACAGACTGACGGGCTGATGGACAGATGGATGGATGGTTGGAGAGACAGAAACATTATTGACAAACAAAAAGAATGGGTGAAGGACACCGACATGGGTTGATGATGCTGCCACAACACCAACAAACTGTATGGGTTAATGGATGAGAGACGCAGAGGAGAAATATCAGCTCTTTTTACCCATTCTCAGTCTGTTCCAAACGACTGGTTTGGGAAGGCCGGGTCCTTTGTGATGCTTACCATTGGCTGTGGAGAAGAAGAAGGACTGTTATGGAAAAAGCAGCTAGCATTGTTAGCTCAGACTTAATTATTCAGGAAAAAACAGGTTAGAGATGAATCTCCCAACAGATCTTGTGAGGAGGAAAATAAATAGGAAAAGGAGGGTGTCATATGTGATGGACCAGTGGAGAGTCCTGTAAGCGCTTCAGCCTCAAGTGAACAACACGTGTTTCCCCAAAGACAGTGTAAAGCTCTATCTTAACATGGCTGACCCGTGCTGCAACCAGAATCTACGACATGCTGACGGATCTTTCTAAAAGTAGCAGTGTAAGTGACTTCTTCAGATGGTGACGAGTCAGAATGGATAGATTGGACAGCCGTGACAAATCTTGACCGACGGAGGTGACAAGCTACGTCGAAGCATGACCAATCACGCTCTCCACATGTTGTGCAGGGTGAAATTAGGCACTTGAAGCCAAACCAACTCTGCAATCTTTGCCTAATCTCGATCTCTGCCTAGATATGACAACATGTGTGGTGGGTTTGGAGTAAGTACTGCACACTGGTTACACAGGGTTTGTGGGGGTAGAGGGGATTTTCAGAAAACCACAAGAGGATGACATATTAGGAGGAAGGAAGGAGGAAGAGGAGGAAAAGGGGAGAGAGAGAGATTCCTTTACCCCCTGGTGTCCCGGAGGTCTGTGATGAGTTATTGGCCCTACGAAGAAGGGATGAGGAAGAGGAGGAGGAGGTGGAGGAGGAGGAGGAGGAAGAGGAGGATGGGGTTTCTTGTCTTGAGCCATCAGTGAAGGGAAAGAGAGGGTTTCTGGCAGCAGGAGACTTCATGGTCCTGGCTATCAGTGTGATGGCCGGGCCATGGGGTTTCAAATTTCTCTGGCTGTCTTGACCTAGAAAACCACAAAAATAATTATAGAACCTATTACAATGTGTAGTCTCAATGTCTGTTAAAGACAACTCTATTGTGCCATTCAGGTGTGCTGGGAGCCACGGCCCTTAGGAGAGGAATAGTGGGGTTAGTGATGATGATTCAATCAATGATCTCTCAAAGGATCTGCAGCATTCAATAGTGTAGTTTGATTGAATGCATCTACTGTGTAGTTCTCTAACATGAGCTCTTAACTCATGTTAGCCTTGTTGTTACAAGCATTGCATATTTTCTGTGTGTACTTGTAATGAATTTAGTGACGTAAACAATATTTACTATAGGATTTTTCAAGCATTTTCTTCGTCGTAAAGCTTCCACAATCTTGAGGAATACAGTCATAGATGCTGCTGGGGCTCAGCAGTGCAGCGTAACCATGACAGTCAGATTGTGTATGCCATGCAGATATGGATAATGCAGATAATGTGGTTGATAATGTGGTGGATGGTGCAATAAAGGGCATTCAGTCCAACTCCTGATCATGACCTGTGGACCAATGAGTCTGCATTAAAGCTGGACAACAAAACTGAAGCTGTGGACCAATGAGTCTGCATTGAAACTGGACAACAACACTGAATTGGCTAGTATTGTTAGTTAAGACTTAATTATTCAGGAAAAAACTGATTAGAGATGAATCTCCCAACAGGCCTTGTGAGGAGGAAAATAAATAGGAAAAAAAAAACAGGACAAAAACAGATGTGACTTTGCGTGGAAAAGGAATGTGTTATACAGTATGTGATGGACCAGTGGAGAGTCCTGTAAGCGCTTCAGCCTCAAGTGAACAACACGTGTTTCCCCAAAGACAGTGTAAAGCTCTATCTTAACATGGCTGACCCGTGCTGCAACCAGAATCTACGACATGCTGACGGATCTTTCTAAAAGTAGCAGTGTAAGTGACTTCTTCAGATGGTGCGAGAATCGAGAAATGGATAGATTGGACAGCCGTGACAAATCTTGACCGCAGGAGGTGACAAGCTACGTCGAAGCATGACCAATCACGCTCTCCACATGTTGTGCAGGGTGAAATTAGGCACTTGAAGCCAAACCAACTCTGCAATCTTTGCCTAATCTCGATCTCTGCCTAGATATGACAACATGTGTGGTGGGTTTGGAGTAAGTACTGCACACTGGTTACACAGGGTTTGTGGGGGTAGAGGGGATTTTCAGAAAACCACAAGGAGATTACATATTAGGAGGAAGAGGAGGAAGGAAGGAGGAAGAGGAGGAAAAGGGGAGAGAGAGAGATTCCTTTACCCCCTGGTGTCCCGGAGGTCTGTGATGAGTTATTGGCCCTACGAAGAAGGGATGAGGAAGAGGAGGAGGAGGAGGAGGAGGTGGAGGAGGTGGAGGAGGAGGAAGAGGAGGATGGGGTATCTTGTCTTGAGCCATCAGTGAAGGGAAAGAGAGGGTTTCTGGCAGCAGGAGACTTCATGGTCCTGGCTATCAGTGTGATGGCCGGGCCATGGGGTTTCAAATTTCTCTGGCTGTCTTGACCTAGAAAACCACAAAAATAATTATAGAACCTATTACAATGTGTAGTCTCAATGTCTGTTAAAGACAACTCTATTGTGCCATTCAGGTGTGCTGGGAGCCACGGCCCTTAGGAGAGGAATAGTGGGGTTAGTGATGATGATTCAATCAATGATCTCTCAAAGGATCTGCAGCATTCAATAGTGTAGTTTGATTGAATGCATCTACTGTGTAGTTCTCTAACATGAGCTCTTAACTCATGTTAGCCTTGTTGTTACAAGCATTGCATATTTTCTGTGTGTACTTGTAATGAATTTAGTGACGTAAACAATATTTACTATAGGATTTTTCAAGCATTTTCTTCGTCGTAAAGCTTCCACAATCTTGAGGAATACAGTCATAGGATTTTTTATGAATTTATTTGCAAATGATGGTGGAAAATAAGTATTTGGTCACCTACAAACAAGCAAGATTTCTGGCTCTCACAGACCTGTAACTTCTTCTTTAAGAGGCTCCTCTGTCCTCCACTCGTTACCTGTATTAATGGCACCTGTTTGAACTTGTTATCAGTATAAAAGACAACTGTCCACAACCTCAAACAGTCACACTCCAAACTCCACTATGGCCAAGACCAAAGAGCTGTCAAAGGACACCAGAAACAAAATTGTAGACCTGCACCAGGCTGGGAAGACTGAATCTGCAATAGGTAAGCAGCTTGATTTGAATAAATCAACGGTGGGAGCAATTATTAGGAAATGGAAGACATACAAGACCACTGATAATCTCCCTCGATCTGGGGCTCCACGCAAGATCTCACCCCGTGGGGTCAAAATGATCACAAGAACGGTGAGCAAAAATCCCAGAACCACACGGGGGGACCTAGTGAATGACCTGCAGAGAGCTGGGACCAAAGTAACAAAGCCTACCATCAGTAACACACTACGCCGCCAGGGACTCAAATAATGCAGTGCAAGATGTGTCCCCCTGCTTAAGCCAGTAAATGTCCAGGCCCGTCTGAAGTTTGCTAGAGTGCATTTGGATGATCCAGAAGAGGATTGGGAGAATGTCATATGGTCAGATGAAACCAAAATATAACTTTTTGGTAAAAACTCAACTCGTCGTGTTTGGAGGACAAAGAATGCTGAGTTGCATCCAAAGAACACCATACCTACTGTGAAGCATGGGGGTGGAAACATCATGCTTTGGGGCTGTTTTTCTGCAAAGGGACCAGGACGACTGATCCGTGTAAAGGAAAGAATGAATGGGGCCATGTATCATGAGATTTTGAGTGAAAACCTCCTTCCATCAGCAAGGGCATTGAAGATGAAACGTGGCTGGGTCTTTCAGCATGACAATGATCCCAAACACACCGCCCGGGCAACGAAGGAGTGGCTTCGTAATAAGCATTTCAAGGTCCTGGAGTGGCCTAGCCAGTCTCCACATCTCAACCCCATAGAAAATCTTTGGAGGGAGTTGAAAGTCCGTGTTGCCCAGCGACAGCCCCAAAACATCACTGCTCTAGAGGAGATCTGCATGGAGGAATGGGCCAAAATACCAGCAACAGTGTGTGAAAACCTTGTGAAGACTTACAGAAAACGTTTGACCTGTGTCATTGCGAACAAAGGGTATATAACAAAGTATTGAGAAACTTTTGTTATTGACCAAATACTTATTTTCCACCATAATTTGCAAATAAATTCATTAAAAATCCTACAATGTGATTTTCTGGATTTTTTTTCCTCATTTTGTCTGTCATAGTTGACATGTACCTATGATGAAAATTACAGGCCTCTCTCATCTTTTTAAGTGGGAGAACTTGCACAATTGGTGGCTGACTAAATACTTTTTTTCCCCACTGTAGATGCTGCTGGGGCTCAGCATTGCAGCATAACCATGACAGTCAGATTGTGTATGCCATGCAGATATGGATAATGCAGATAATGTGGTTGATAATGTGGTGGATGGTGCAATAAAGGGCATTCAGTCCAACTCCTGATCATGACCTGTGGACCAATGAGTCTGCATTAAAGCTGGACAACAAAACTGAAGCTGTGGACCAATGAGTCTGCATTTAAACTGGGCAACAACACTGAATTGGCTAGTATTGTTAGTTAAGACTTAATTATTCAGGAAAAAACAGATTAGAGATGAATCTCCCAACAGGCCTTGTGAGGAGGAAAATAAATAGGAAAAAAAACAGGACAAAAACAGATGTGACTTTGCGTGGAAAAGGAACGTGTTATACAGTATGTGATGGACCAGTGGAGAGTCCTGTAAGCGCTTCAGCCTCAAGTGAACAACACGTGTTTCCCCAAAGACAGTGGAAAGCTCTATCTTAACATGGCTGACCCGTGCTGCAACCAGAATCTACGACATGCTGACGGATCTTTCTAAAAGTAGCAGTGTAAGTGACTTCTTCAGATGGTGCGAGAATCGAGAAATGGATAGATTGGACAGCCGTGACAAATCTTGACCGCGGAGGTGACAAGCTACGTCGAAGCATGACCAATCACGCTCTCCAGATGTTGTGCAGGGTGAAATTAGGCACTTGAAGCCAAACCAACTCTGCAATCTTTGCCTAATCTCAATCTCTGCCCAGATATGACAACATTTGTGGTTGGTTTGGAGTAAGTACTGCACACTGGTTACACAGGGTTTGTGGGAGTAGAGGGGATTTCCAGAAAACCACAAGGAGATTACATAATAGGAGGAAGAGGAGGAAGGAAGGAGAAGGGGGAAGAGAGAGATTCCTTTACCCCCTGGTGTACCGGAGGTCTGTGATGAGTTATTGGCACTACGAAGAAGGGATGAGGAAGAGGAGGAGGTGGAGGAGGAGGAGGAGGTGAAGGAGGAGGAGGAGGCGGATGGGATATCTTGTCTTGAGCCATCAGTGAAGGGAAAGAGAGGGTTTCTGGCAGCAGGAGACTTCATGGTCCTGGCTAATCAGTGTATGGCCGGGCCATGGGGTTTCAAATTCCTTGGCTGCCTGACCTAGAAAACCACAAAACAATTGTAGAACCTGTTACAATGAGTAGTCTCAATGTCTGTTAAAGACCATTCTGTTGTGCCATTCAGGTGTGCTGGGACAGACTGACGGGCTGATGGACAGATGGATGGATGGTTGGAGAGACAGAAACATTAATTGACAAACAAAAAAGAATGGGTGAAGGCACCGTACAATGGGTTGATTATGGCTGCCACAACACCAACAAACTGTTGGGTTAATGGATTAGAGACGCAGAGGAGTAATATCAAGCTCTTTTTTACCCATTCCTCAGTCTGTTCAAACGACTGGTTTTGGGAGGGGCCCGGGGTCCCTTTGTGAGGCCTTACCATTGGCTGTGGAGAAGAAGAAGGATGTTTATGGAAAAAGCAGCTAGCATTGTTAGCTCAGACTTAATTATTCAGGAAAAAACAGGTTAGAGATGAATCTCCCAACAGATCTTGTGAGGAGGAAAATAAATAGGAAAAGGAGGGTGTCATATGTGATGGACCAGTGGAGAGTCCTGTAAGCGCTTCAGCCTCAAGTGAACAACACGTGTTTCCCCAAAGACAGTGGAAAGCTCTATCGTAACATGGCTGACCCGTGCTGCAACCAGAATCTACGACATGCTGACGGATCTTTCTAAAAGTAGCAGTGTCAGTGGCTTCTACAGATGGTGAGCGAGTCAAGAGATAGATAGATTGGACAGCCGTGACAAATCTTGACCACGGAGGTGACAAGCTACGTCGAAGCATGACCAATCACGCTCTCCACATGTTGTGCAGGGTGAAATTAGGCACTTGAAGCCAAACCAACTCTGCAATCTTTGCCTAATCTCGATCTCTGCCTAGATATGACAACATGTGTGGTGGGTTTGGAGTAAGTACTGCACACTGGTTACACAGGGTTTGTGGGGGTAGAGGGGATTTTCAGAAAACCACAAGAGGATGACATATTAGGAGGAAGGAAGGAAGAAGGAGGAAAGGGGAGAGAGAGAGATTCCTTTACCCCCTGGTGTCCCGGAGGTCTGTGATGAGTTATTGGCCCTACGAAGAAGGGATGAGGAAGAGGAGGAGGAGGTGGAGGAGGAGGAGGAGGAAGAGGAGGATGGGGTTTCTTGTCTTGAGCCATCAGTGAAGGGAAAGAGAGGGTTTCTGGCAGCAGGAGACTTCATGGTCCTGGCTATCAGTGTGATGGCCGGGCCATGGGGTTTCAAATTTCTCTGGCTGCCTTGACCTAGAAAACCACAAAAACAATTGTAGAACCTGTTACAATGTGTAGTCTCAATGTCTGTTAAAGACACTCTATTGTGCCATTCAGGTGTGCTGGGAGCCACGGCCCTTAGGAGAGGAATAGTGGGGTTAGTGATGATGATTCAATCAATGATCTCTCAAAGGATCTGCAGCATTCAATAGTGTAGTTTGATTGAATGCATCTACTGTGTAGTTCTCTAACATGAGCTCTTAACTCATGTTAGCCTTGTTTTTACAAGCGTTGCATGTTTTCTCTGTGTACTTCTAATTAATTTAGTGACGTAAACAATATTAACTATTGGATTTTTCAAGCATTTTTTTTGTCGTAAAGCTTCCACAATCTTGAGGAATACAGTCATAGATGCTGCTGGGGCTCAGCAGTGCAGCGTAACCATGACAGTCAGATTGTGTATGCCATGCAGATATGGATAATGCAGATAATGTGGTTGATAATGTGGTGGATGGTGCAATAAAGGGCATTCAGTCCAACTCCTGACCTGTGGATCAATGAGTCTGCATTAAAGCTGGACAACAACACTGAAGCTGTGGACCAATGAGTGTGCATTAAAGCTGTACAACAACACTGAAGCTGTGGTCAAATGAGTCTGCATTAAAGCTGTACAACAACACTGAAGCTGTGGACCAATGAGTGTGCATTAAAGCTGGACAACAACACTGAAGCTGTGGTCTGAGAGGATGGTGACACAATGGACAGCAGACAGACAGTGGAGTGTACGTAGACCAGCTGAGGCAAAACACAGTGAGGGCATTTGTACAATGAGGTCATCGTTACCCAAGTTATTATTATTGGCTTTCTCACTGCCCAGGGCGTGTGTCAGCAGTGATGCTCCTTCCTGTGATTCACTGAAAGCTGTGTGGGGAAAAAATGGTTTTATCTGTTTCTGGAGGGTTGGGTTACAGTGGTTTGTAGAGAAATTCAAGATGGCGCTTCCTTGCCTATCTGTTACTCGGCAGTACTCTCAAAGACTACCCATTGAGGTAAAGGAAAACAAAGGATTCCTGCCTCACTTCATAAAAAGTTCAAATCTCCCTAATAGCTTTAGATACCAGTAAGTCTTTCGGTTTCAGTAAACATCTAGGCGTTTGCTCCGAAAAGAGTTAGGCATTTTAAATAACTTATATTTGAGGGGTACCAGAGTATACTCTGATGCCCTTAACATGACATCACAGACTCTGCAAAAGAAGGGGAAGGTTAAAGAGAGTTGAAAGGTGGAAATTACCAGAGGAAGGGTTATGTGGCTTCTCTGTGGCGCTAGTAGGTCCCCTGGGTTGGGTCTTTCCCTGTTGCTTTTCACCATGTGGAGAGGGGTTGTTAGGGACAGGGGTGGCAGAGGAGGTACTGGGGGTTTTGGTGGGCAGGAGTTGGGGGGAGGCAGGAGGGAGGTCCACGAGATGAGAGGAAGCATTTCTAATACTGTTTCCTCCGTCTGGGTGAGAGAGAAGAGAGAGGTATACTTTGATTATGGGGACTGGAAACTATGGAGTCACATAAGGACGTACCTTATGGAACATTTTGATGCCCAATTGTTGCGGTCAATATCAACAGTTCATAGACAGGCATTCAAATCCATCTCTTTGGCTGTGAGATGAATGTCTCCGAATACCTTTCATTGACTGTATAAGATTGTAGTTATTTATCTTTTTCTAATAGTGGATTCAGATTGATTTAACCTTGTCCCATAATGTAGTTGTACCTCATAGAAATACACACAGAAGGTCTTGAAAACATCATTGGAAGGAGTATTTAGAGGGACAGAAGGGGTAGTGAGCGACTTTGTGCTGCCTTTCCCTAATGGGAAATTCAAAGACGTCTTTTGCATGCAGTGTTGTCATGCAGACTGTTTAAACCCAGCATTGCCACTGGCTTTAAGTGCAATAACTCTGTAAACGAATGAGGAATGAAAAATGGAGAGAGATGACTGATATGACTGATGTCAAGAAAGATGTCATGGTTCGTGGACACAAACATATGAAATGAGGGATTTTGATGGACACTGCTGGAGAGAGAGAGAGAGAGAGAGAGTCAGAGGTTGTGGGTTATAGACATGGGAAGAACAAACAGCAGAAAAATAGAAAATGGATGGATGAATAGATCAATGGATGACAGAAAAAAAGAGTGGAAGAGAATGAGGTAAAGGTAAAGTGCTGAGTTGGACTGATACAGTATGGAGGGAAAGTGAGCGAAACAAGCAGTCAATGCTCTCACAGCGCCTGAGATCTAAGCTCAGAGGATGTGAGAAATGCGAAACAAGATCACCGTCATGCGTGCCCTTCGCATTTGCTCTGGCAGAAACTTACGCACATACTTCCAACTCTGTGGCGGCACCATCCTGTGCCACCACCATCTCCGCGATCCAGGGACTTTCTAACTCTCAGTGGACTCAAGGCATGCCAGCATGCAGCCAATCACAACGAACAGCTGCGGTTCTCACCCCCCACCCCAACCCACCCCTCCCCTCGCAGCAGCGTAGTGGACATAGCCAAGCGATGACTGACTGCGAATAAAGCTTGATATGATTCAAAATGTCTGTCTCTGTTTACCCAGTGGGAACTGTGGCCATTGAGGCTCATTGGAGCGGGGGTCAGGTCTAGCTTCCAGGTGGCTCTCTGGTGGTGCTGTAGAAAATAATATCACGTTTCATAAAGTGTGAATAGGAACGAAGTGCAAAGGTAGAGAAGGCATTGGGGCAGGAAATGTGTTTGACCACAGAAGGTCTTTAAAGACAGTGAAAAGAGTAGTGTTTTTGGCCACAATACCTGTGCAACCATGAGTAATACAAAAAAACAGCAGAGTATGATGTTGTGTTGCTACCATGCTGTGTTGTCATGTGTTTTTTTTTTATTAATTTATTTATTTATTTTATTGGGGGTAGATCAACTTAATATTGCAGATTGTAACTTCCATCATTGTAATTGTCTGCATCACTTCCAATCCCCCATGTTTTTATATATATACTCCCCTTTATTACTTTTCAACCCCGCCATCCTTTCCCTACTTGGGGTAAATTAGTGAACAACAATGCCCAGGCCTCTACTTCCAGACTATACTTACTATCTACACCTTATGGACACAGTCAACTTTACAATAATTATATTTTATTTGTTTTTGCTCCTGAACTTCTTCTACTCTCAACCTCTCCGATCATTTTCATGATGTCCATCCGGTTTGCTTCTATATGCCATATCTTTCTAACTGTGCTCATGTTGTCATGTGTTGCTGCCATGCTATGTTGTTGTCTTAGGTCTCTCTTTATGTAGTGTCTCTCTTGTCGTGATGTGTGTTTTGTCCTATATTTTTATTTTATCCCAGCCCCCGTCCCCGCAGGAGGCCTTTTGGTAGGCCGTCATTGTAAATAAGAATTTGTTCTTAACTGATTTGCCTAGTTAAATAAAGGTTAATAAAAAATAAAAATAAATGAAATGTAAAGTGCTTTAGAATGAGAGTGGAGAGAGAGAGTAATCACCAAAAGATGTCTTGGGAGCTCCTGGGAAAACCTTGGTTTTTGGTCAGAGGAGGGATTCTAGGCTGAGTCCTGTTGTGAATAGCTGGGGGAGAAAGGAATCAAGAATGGATTACAGAGGAGATAGGCATGGTTTCAAGTAGCTGCAACATATTCCATATGTCTAAAGTATTGATGCTGTAAACCAGCACTTTACATTACATAGGTGTTACACCATATAAAAAAAACAGTATAATATGCAGTTATACCCTCAGAAAACAGGTGTAACAAGGGTAAGTAGTATTTAGCTGTCTGGACGTACACACCTGGAACAACATAATGACCTACTTTACATTACTGTACATTGGAATAAAGCTTATGCAACGGTGTTGCATGGACATGTATATGGGCATGTAGCATCCCTCATTGTTTCATTACCATGTAATATATATATCATATCATATATTCAATGCAATATATATATATAAATGGCTTACCTGGACGAGGTGGGAAAAGTGCGCGGGACATGGGTGGTTTCTGAGAAACAAAAATGATCTACAGTTGGTGGAAGTTTTTATTGACACCAGATCCACAGCCACAGTTCATATGTCAACGCTAATACGCTTCCGGTGCTAAAGCCATGTTTTAGTTTTATGGTGAGGATAGCATTGTGCTACATCACTGAGAGTATCCCTTGAGGCTTCTAGCGTACCTAACGTGCCCCTCAACCTGACTTCTGACTGGTGGAGCCATTTCACCAGAAAACATTTATGGTCTGCTGTCTACACTTCACTTACTGGTACCTGACTTAGCCTAACTGACAGACACACACAACACACACACACACACACACACACATACACACACACACACACACACACACACACACACAACACACATGGTCAAGGGCCATATAACAGTCACAAACGCGCAAATGAGCTACAAAATCAAAATAGCTGATGTAAAAAGCGCTTTATAAATACATTTGATTGATTGATTGATTGATTGATTGATTGATTAATTGATTGTGAGTGGGCAGAAAGACTGTGTCAGAGCGAGCGTGTCATGTGTTGATTTGCGATGTTCTGCCTGTTTTGTGTTGTCACCGCTGGGGTGTGAGGGTCACCTTCTTTAACCCACATTAAAGAGTCTCTCAGGCCGGGTGCTGGGGTCAGACAGGGGAAGCAGACAGAAGTTTGTCTACTCTACTCTGGCCTTACACAACTCAGCTACACTCTGCTTTTCACCCTCTCTCACCACCTTGTATATTCTCCCTCCACAGAGACAGCAGGAAATATAAAATGATTTTCTTGAAGAAATAAATGTAGTTGTAGGGTAAAGTTGTAGTGTGAGAATATGTATGCCTGTGGAAGCTATTTAATTCAGAGACTGAGAGTCCCGTAGATCATAGGTTCTTATGCTGTATGGCCAACAAAACACAGCACATACCATTGGCTTCGCAATAAGGGTCCGGTGCTTGTAGGGCTTCTGGATGATTTTGTCTGCAAAACATGAAGAAGAAGATGTTAACAACTGCTATTCTGAGAAGAGTGTGTCGGCAGGTCGTCTTTTGAAAGTCTGGCAAGTAGGAACAATAAAGCACAAATGGCTCACATGGTATGGATGTTTTACTCTGTTTTCTTGTGCCACAAAGATTTCTTACAGACTTCTTAAAAAATTAAACGATGTACTCCCTGAAATCGCTGATTTTCATTTTCCTAAGTGTGATGTACATACTGCCCATGCAGGGTTGGGGAGTAACTGATTACATGTAATCGGATTACCAAAAAACTTAAAGTGTAATCCATTACATTTTTGTCATTTAGCAGACACTCTTATCCAGAGCGACTTACAGTTAGTGAGTGGATACATTTTTCATACTGGCCCCCCGTGGGAATCGAACCCACAACCCTGGCGTTGCAAGCACCATGCTCTACCAACTGAGCTACACAGGAGCTACACATTACCAGCTAAAATATTGTCATCAGATTACAGATACTTTTTAAAAACTAGATGACTACTTCTTGGATTACTTTTAAATTTGGAAAGGATGTTTGCTCAAAAAATTTATACATTATGACACCTTTCTGTTTTCTCAATGACATTTAATTCAGCATTGAAAAGAAGGCGGTAAGTTTACATTTGTTCCACCTGAGCGAGTCTGACCACAAGTCAGAGACCACCATGATGACACAACAAATGTGTTTTATGGATCCTTTTTGTCTTCTTCTAATGCCTCTTAAGGGGAAAGTAATCTAAAAGTAACTGAAAGTAATCAGATTATGTTACTGAGTTTGGGGAACCCAAATGTTATGTTAATGATTACAACTTTGGACAGGTAGCTAGTAACTGTAACCGATTACATGTAGAAAGTAACCTACCCAACCCTACACCCATGTTGGTTTTGTGAATGACAGGCTTGCTCCAGACTCCGCTGCTTTCGTCTTTGTTGGAGCGGACCCCAAACTCGTATGGGGTGTTGGGCTTCAGGTTGTCAATCACGGTGTCGCTGGTGGGGCAGGTCTGGTAGATCCACTTCCTGTTCCTCTCCCTGTAGCGGACGGTGTAGTGTCTGCATGGGAAGGACAAACAAGGCACAGTAAACAACATGCTGATTCTTGTAAAGTAGCTGTGCATCTTTATGGTAAACTCTAACCTTTGGAAAATGCTGTCTTCATTTCACAACAAAGCACAGCAGGCGTGCACCACATCATACAGTATGGGTGGCTATTCCAGCTCCACCGTCCCCCATTAGCTATTGTTAATTCTGGCTCCGGTATCTCCGGTCATCTCGTCAGTGTCAACCGATCCCCTTTCATTCCCTCAGTGATTGTCTTTCTAGGTAGCGCTGCCGGCAGTAGCCAAGCAGTAAACAGAAGGAACTGACATTAGCTTTTAATACGCCACCAGATGGAAGGAGGCACTCTCAGCTGTAACTTAGGTTGAGATTTCCAACGACTCCTCCAACTTTCGGCGAGGGGGGAATTCTAGAATGCATTTAAGGCTGAGCATAAATAGAGTGATGGAAAAGTGTGTCCCAGCAGTACAGTCCGTGTATCCTCAGTCAACTCCTGCACACACCTGTGCTGGAACAGACCTCGGCCCATTCCCATGCTCCATTTTCCATAAAAAATAAATGACACACTTCCTCAACGTTTCTCTATAGAACTGTTATGCTTCATAAATCCTCCAAGGTTCGACAGTACAGTACATTGAATGCATGGTATGAGTTTAAATCTAGTCAAGCCTTCATACAGTATATCATCTTTATACATAGCTGGCAATAACAGCCTTGTATTCAGATCTCAGTGTGTGCACCTGATTTCAACTAGATCCTTTTCTTTTGTGAAAACCAGATCGTCTGAATGCCTAAACAGTGTGTAACTGTATTCACCTGTCATCCATTTTGCGCTGAGTGAGGCTGTTTCTGTGGAAAACTTTGGCCTGAAAAGGCAACATGGAACTGGAACCAGATGTTTCGCTGGCGGTGCGGTAGGGTATAACTCACCCGTCTTCCAGACAGTCGTTCATGATGTTGCCTACATCATAGGGCGTCTTCAGGAAGGTTCCCCAGGACAGCAGCAGAGAGGTTGGGGTGATGGAGCCAATCACCAGGTGGAGTGGCTTCTCCAGGTTGACCTTTCCTGTGAGGACAAAGGTCAATGGTCATACACTATATTTACAACACGTTTGATGACCTGATTAACCTTTTAGATGTGTAGACAGACTGCCACAGGTACCTGTGCATTGTTTCTTCACATCATTACTCGGGATTGGCTGGACAGCAACAAGATACTTGGGCTCTGCGTCTGAAAGGGTTAAATAAGAAAATGTTGTCACATTGATTTCTCTGTCATGGAAAAACTAATATACCAGAATGGGGAAAAGATTTTCCTGGACCGTGAAAGAAGAGTGTGGGTAGAAAGAGTCCTCCTGACGCCTGGTGAGTCACTACCCAGCCAGGTCTCTGGTGTTGGGGAGATGGGCTGAAACTATTCAAACCAGCCGTAAACAGATGCAGAACAGATACACAGATGAAAGAGCTTGACTTCAAGCACAACAGATGAAAACAAACAGTCGTTCGGATGGTAAATTGAAATGCAGTTGAGTTGCTTGAACTCCTCTGAACAATGGAACGTTGTCCAACCTGTAGAGACTTTAATACATAGAATATAAAGGGGTTTATATTAGCCGCCCACAATCTAACAGTCGTGTATTGTTATTATACTTGTCTAAATGCAAACAATGTCTGAGGCCAGCTAGGAGGGGTGAAAATATGGTTATGGATCTGGAACACAGTTAAGACACATCTGGCCACTTGGATTCAACGTGCTATAAAAACAGTGATCCAGAAATGTTGTGTTTCTGTTGCATGAGAACGGAGAGCTCATTAATGAATAACTGTACATAACAAAATAGACAGGATGTGAAGGGTGGAGCACTAAGGGCCTGAATAAGGGCCTGATTAGGTCCTGGTGTTCAATGGATTAACATAAAGCCAGAGCATTTGAGCTGGCAGGCCAGGAGTAGGAGTAGGTTGGCATGGATCGAAGCTGGCACAATGTTACGGGTGGGGCATTGGACAAATGATAGTCATTTGATTGCTTAAAATAAAGAAAACTGTTGGGTGTGGGGAAACACTTTAAATCAATTTAAGTTAAGAGTCAGCACAGAAGAGAATCCGAGAGAGTCACAGTAACACAATCATGTCCTATTGGACTACTATGTGTCATCATTGCTGAGAAGGTTTTGTCTACCCTCTGCTCTCTCGTTGGATCCCCGTGGGCTCTCTCATGATGAGGTACTTCAATCAGGTGTTCTGGAGGGGCACCTGAGACCATTCTAACTCAGCTCTTTGTTGTCGTTGGTTTTGTACGTGGAAGGTCACAGCTTGTACCAGTGATAAATGATGTTTGATCACTTCTGTTGTCTCTCACACAGGTGAAAGGGCTCAAAGAGAAGTTGCTAAAAAGCTGTTCTGCATTGAACAAACAGCACTCCTTTCACTGATTGGGGAGCCAGCCAAGGGAGTTTTTCAATTCTCTTTAGTCCCTGGTTCCTTTCTACTCTAACACTTCAAAGCCTGGGATTTACACAATGGCCATTGAGGCCTTTTCATACGACAAGAGGAAACGTGTTCCTGACCTGCTCTCATTTAGTGCCTGTCCTAAATCCAAACAGATCAACACAAAACAGCAATAAAGGACTCATATTTGTTTGATTTAATTATTAAAGCACTCCAATGTTTACTTTAACACAAGTGAATGTAGAGAGTGGGAGTATCAAGGAAAATAAGCAACAGCGTATCGTTCAAATTCTAACATAAGCATGTGGTTTCATGCTCAATGGATGATCTACACAAGCTGTAAGGTAATCTTTCACTGACCCAGTGCTGCCCTGCTATGGTGCTGTAGTGGGTTGGGATGTTGAAAGTATCTCATGAGAGGCTGTGGTTTGTGATGAATGGAACCCACTGAGCTGCAGGAAAGGGTTTGAAAGAGGAAAGTAAACACTGTGGAGTGCTCAGTGTAACTCCTGCCCTTTTCACCCTGTTTGGGGAATCTCTGTGCTCTACAAAGACAGGTTGCTAAGTTTCTCAGAGGAACGGTTTCTCCCCCCGGGTTATCTAGTGATGTATGTTGGAGTCACAATATACACTTATGTTATGACTATCTGATAAATGATGAATCCCTGAAAGTCAATAGGTTAGTGTGTGTGTGTGTGTGTGTGTTTGTGTTTGTGTTTGTGTTTGTGTTGTGTTGTGTGTGTGTGTGTGTGTGTGCGTGGTCTTACCATAGACCAGTCTTACCTATCTCAGTCTCGTAGGGCTCTCCATTCTCAGGCAGCTGGATGAACTGTTTAGAGAACATGCTGCTGCCATAACCCAGGATGTAGCCTTCCAGCTTGGTGTCAGGGTTGGGACGGACAAACTTCATCACGATGGTGTCGCCGGTGGCGTTGATGCGGACCTTCATGTTCTGTCTTCTCACTGTTAAAGACCAAGAAGTAGAATAATACAGTTGAATTGCATTGTAGTTGTGATTAGTTGAACTGTGGTTCATTACACGTAAAGATGCTAGTGTATTCCATCACAGCTAACCTTCAGCACCTCACATGAACATGAGCAGATTGCAAGTGCTGCATTTAAGAAACTTCTGGACTTAGGGGTAATTGCAAGATAAACTGCTGCCTCTCCCCAGGTACCCAAGGGATTAATCAAATAGGACTGTGTTTGTGGTTTTCATGAAACAGACTGCAGTACCCTTCAACTGCAGCCAATATAACCCTGAATGCATACAGGAGATGGAATACTTGATTCTTCCATCAGTCTTAACATTGGACTATTAGGATAAACTCAAAGTACTTTAAACCCACTGATATCGTCAGGCTTGGAGAGGTAAAATTAGAAGGTGAAATGCAATGGAGGATGGAACTCTTGAAGGTTGAGCTCCAAACAGTTCAGAAAAGTCATTATTCAAGAACAGAGGCTAAACATCAGTACTGGAGCTCATTTAAACCTGGTAATAAACCTCTTTAGCTTTGGAGAAGGTTTTCCCTTGTCCACCAGATTCCCATATCCCACCATACAGGAACTTGACTGGTTCAGCTGCTGGGTTATAGAGGCTGTTAAATGCTAATGAAAAGCAGGCTTAAAATGGATGTTGTGGCCGTTTTGTGTCGTCACACACATCAGTCAGCAGCCCGCCCTTTTAATGCCCATGCAGGCAAGAGGCAAGGCGAGCGTTCTGGCACTCCAGCTAATCCTAATCACGCAGAGTGTTAATTAGGCTTTAACGATAACCTAATCACTCCCATTCACAGAGCAAACTTGGAATGAACCTAGGATATCATATCGGCGCCTTCATTATCGATGACCCGCGAAACTCTTCAATCACGAGAAAGTGAAAAACAAACAAACAACCATATTTGTGTGGTGGTTTTGTGGAAGTTGCCAGGAACTATTGGTTTGGATGAATTTAAAAGACCACTGGGTTTGCTGAATCAGCACAACATTGTGCAACTTATTCCACAGTGTGAGTGAATTAACTGTTTACTTGGATACTTGTGTCCATTTCGCATCTCTGCTTAACCCCAAAGAGTAATCTTGAATTGTTTGGAATATAATTGGAGGGAAAAGGATGTTTTGCTTGTCAGGTTTCTGCTGTCGAACATCCTATTTCTAGTGGCGCCTTCCATTCTAACTGTCATTAATAAACGCATCTCCCCCGGCAACGTGACATAACCTCTGCTTACCTCAAGACTCAAGACTCCTGTCATGTTATTGCTGACTCCCTTTAATTTAACAAGAAGGATGTTTTCAGTCTCTGGCTTTATAGCTCTAAATCCATGAGGATCTATTAAAGAGACCCTAGACTTACAAGGACTGTAATGTGTTATCCTCTGATTATAGACCAGATGACAACTTCACCCCTTGTGGAGACAACAATATACAGATGAAGAGTGATTCTAGCTACAGGGGGAGAATGTGGAAGACATTATTATGTTACATAATACCAATAAATGTATACTGAAGCTTATGGAAAGGCCTACTCATCAAAAATGCAGGTTGACGTGTATTGTCATGAATCTTGCCCTGGAGGTAGAACTGAGAGATTTCTGCCACACTCTTAGAAAAAAGGGTTCCAAAAGGATTCTTCGGCTGTCCAAATAGGAGAGCCCTTTTTGGTTCTATGTAGAACTCTTTTGGGTTCCATGTAGAACCATCTGTGGAAAGGGTTCTACATGGAACTCCAAAGGGTTCTACCTGGAACCAAACGGGTTCTACATGGAACCAAAAAGGGTCCTTCAAGGGTTCTCCTATGATAACAGCCGAAGAACCCTTTTAGGTTGTAGATAGCACCTTTTTTTCTAAGTAAAGGTATGCCTACACTCTTAGGAAAAAGGGTGCTATCTAGGGTTCTTCGGCTGTCCCCATAGGAGAACCCTTTGAATAACCCTTTTTGGTTCCAGGTAGAACCCTTTTGGGTTCTATGTAGAACCCTTTCTACAGAGGGTTCTACATGGAACCCAAAAGGGTTATATCTGGAACCAAAAAGGGTTCTACATGCCGACGACGACACAACAGTGGTAGGCCTGATCACCGACAACGATGAGACAGCCTATAGGGAGGAGGTCAGAGATCTGGCCGTGTGGTGCCAGGATAACAACCTCTCCCTCAACGTGACCAAGACAAAGGAGATGATTGTGGACTACAGGAAAAAAAAGAGGACTGAGCACGCCCCCATTCTCATCGACGGGGCTGTAGTGGAACAGGTTGAGAGCTTCAAGTTCCTTGGTGTCCACATCACCAACGAACTATCATGGTCCAAACACACCAAGACAGTCGTGAAGAGGGCACGACAAAGCCTATTCCCCCTCAGGAGACTAAAAAGATTTGGCATGGGTCCTCAGATCCTCAAAAAATTCTACAGCTGCACCATCGAGAGCATCCTGACTGGTTGCATCACCGCCTGGTATGGCAACTGCTTGGCCTCTGACCGCAAGGCACTACAGAGGGTAGTGCGTACGGCCCAGTACATCACTGGGGCAAAGCTTCCTGCCATCCAGGACCTCTATACCAGGCGGTGTCAGAGGAAGGCCCTCAAAATTGTCAAAGACTCCAGCCACCCTAGTCATAGACTGTTCTCTCTGCTACCGCACGGCAAGCGGTACCGGAGTGCCAAGTCTAGGTCCAAAAGACTTCTCAACAGCTTCTACCCCCCAAGCCATAAGACTCCTGAACAGCTAATCATGGCTACCCGGACTATTTGCACTGCCCCCCACCCCATCCTTTTTACGCTGCTGCTACTCTCTGTTAATATTTTATGCATAGTCACTTTAACTCTACCACATGTACATATTACCTCAACTACCTCAACTAGCCGGTGCCCCCGCACATTGACTCTGCAACGGGACCCCCCTGTATATAAACAGCGCCGGAGAAGATGGCTGCCGTTTTACAGCCCTCTAACCAATTTTACTATTATGTGTGTTTTTTCCGCGTTATTTGTAATTTATTTTGTACATAATGTTTATGCCATCGTCTCTTATAACCAAAGAGAGCTTCTGGATATCAGGACAGCGATTACTCACCTCGCGTTGGACGAACACTTTTTCTTCAACGAGGCGTTTTGCGAAGGATATTCTACAACTCCAGACAAGGCCCAGATCCCCGTCATTCGCGTGAGGAAGACGGAGATACCGTGGACGTATTTCGGGGTGCCTGTAAGATCCGACGGCGAACGAAGTAAACTGCCTCTCCCATCAATCCTATTAGCCAACGTTCAAGCTTTGGATAATAAAATGGACGATTTAAGATTACGGTTATCCTACCAACGGGACATTAAAAACTGTAATATCTTATGTTTCACGGAGTCGTGGCTGAATGACAACAATGACAACATTCAGCTAGCAGGCTATACGCTACATCGGCAGGACAGAACGGCAGACTCGGGTAAGACGAGGGGTGGCGGTCTCTGTATTTTTGTAAACAACAGCTGGTGCACAAAATCAAATACTAAGGAAGTCTCGAGGTTTTGCTCGCCTGAGGTAGAGTATCTTATGATAAGCTGTAGACCACACTATTTACCAAGAGAGTTTTCATCTATACTTTTCATAGCTGTCTATTTACCACCACAAACCAATGCTGGCATTAAGATTGCACTGAATGAGTTGTACAAGGCCATTAATCAACAGGAAAATGCTCATCCAGATGCAGCGCTCCTAGTAGCAGGGGACTTTAATGCAGGGAAACTTAAATCCGTTCTACCTCATTTCTACCAGCATGTTAAATGTGCAACCAGAGGGGAAAAAACTCTAGACCACCTTTACTCCACACACAGAGACGCATACAAAGCTCTCCCTCGCCCTCCATTTGGCAAATCTGACCATAACTCTATCCTCCTGATTCCTGCTTATAAGCAAAAACTGAAGCAGGAAGCACCAGTGACTCGGCTAATAAAAAAGTGGTCAGATGACGCAGATGCTAAGCTACAGGACTGTTTTGCTAGCACAGACTGGAACATGTTCAGGGATTCTTCAGACAGCATTGAGGAGTACACCACATCAGTCACTGGCTTCATCAATAAGTGCATCGATGATGTCGTCCCCACAGTGACCGTACGTACATACCCCAACCAGAAGCCATGGATTACAGGAAACATCCGCACTGAGCTAAAGGGTAGAGCTGCCGCTTTCAAGGAACGGGACTCTAACCCGGACGCTTATAAGAAATCCCGCTATGACCTCCGACGAACCATCAAACAGGCAAAGAGTCAATACAGGTCTAAGATTGAATCATACTACACTGGCTCTGACGCTCGTCGGATGTGGCAGGGCTTGAAAACTATTACAGACTACAAAGGGAAGCACAGCCACGAGCTGCCCAGTGACACAAGCCTACCAGACGAGCTAAACCACTTCTATGCTCGCTTCGAGGCAAGCAACACTGAAGCATGCATGAGAGCACCAGCTGTTCCGGACGACTATGTGATCACGCTCTCCGTAGCCGATGTGAGTAAGACTTTTAAGCAGGTCAACATTCACAAGGCCGCAGGGCCAGACGGATTACCAGGACGTGTACTCCGAGCATGTGCTGACCAACTGGCAAGTGTCTTCACTGACATTTTCAACATGTCCCTGACTGAGTCTGTAATACCAACATGTTTCAAGCAGACCACCATAGTCCCCGTGCCCAAGAACTCTAAGATAACCTGCCTAAATGACTACCGACCCGTGGCACTGACGTCTGTAGCCATGAAGTGCTTTGAAAGACTGGTCATGGCTCACATCAACAGCATAATCCCAGAAACCCTAGACCCACTCCAATTTGCATACCGCCCCAACAGATCCACAGATGATGCAATCTCTATCGCACTCCACACTGCCCTTTCCCACCTGGACAAGAGGAACACCTACGTGAGAATGCTATTCATTGACTACAGCTCAGCATTCAACACCATAGTGCCCTCAAAGCTCATCACTAAGCTAAGGATCCTGGGACTAAACACCTCCCTCTGCAACTGGATCCTGGACTTCCTGACGGGCCGCCCCCAGGTGGTAAGGGTAGGTAACAACACATCTGCCACACTGATCCTCAACACGGGGGCCCCTCAGGGGTGCGTGCTCAGTCCCCTCCTGTACTCTCTGTTCACCCATGACTGCATGGCCAGGCACGACTCCAACACCATCATTAAGTTTGCCGACGACACAACAGTGGTAGGCCTGATCACCGACAACGATGAGACAGCCTATAGGGAGGAGGTCAGAGATCTGGCCGTGTGGTGCCAGGACAACAACCTCTCCCTCAACGTGACCAAGACAAAGGAGATGATTGTGGACTACAGGAAAAAAAGAGGACTGAGCACGCCCCCATTCTCATCGACGGGGCTGTAGTGGAACAGGTTGAGAGCTTCAAGTTCCTTGGTGTCCACATCACCAACGAACTATCATGGTCCAAACACACCAAGACAGTCGTGAAGAGGGCACGACAAAGCCTATTCCCCCTCAGGAGACTAAAAAGATTTGGCATGGGTCCTCAGATCCTCAAAAAATTCTACAGCTGCACCATCGAGAGCATCCTGACTGGTTGCATCACCGCCTGGTATGGCAACTGCTTGGCCTCTGACCGCAAGGCACTACAGAGGGTAGTGCGTACGGCCCAGTACATCACTGGGGCAAAGCTCCCTGCCATCCAGGACCTCTATACCAGGCGGTGTCAGAGGAAGGCCCTCAAAATTGTCAAAGACTCCAGTCACCCTAGTCATAGACTGTTCTCTCTGCTACCGCACGGCAAGCGGTACCGGAGTGCCAAGTCTAGGTCCAAAAGACTTCTCAACAGCTTCTACCCCCAAGCCATAAGACTCCTGAACAGCTAATCATGGCTACCCGGACTATTTGCACTGCCCCCCCACCCCATCCTTTTTACGCTGCTGCTACTCTGTTAAGTATTTATGCATAGTCACTTTAACTCTACCCACATGTACATATTACCTCAACTAGCCGGTGCCCCCGCACATTGACTATGCAACGGTACCCCCCTGTATATATAGCCTCCCTACTGTCACTTTATTCTATTGTATATATAGCCTCCCTACTGTCACTTTATTTTTTACTTCTGCTCTTTTTTTCTCAACACTTTTTTGTTGTTTTATTCTTACTTTTTTGTTTAAAATAAATGCACTGTTGGTTAAGGGCTGTAAGTAAGCATTTCACTGTAATGTCTGCACCTGTTGTATTCGGCGCATGTGACCAATAAAATTTGATTTGATTTGATTTGATTTATATAGCCTCCCTACTGTCACTTTATTTTACTTCTGCTCTTTTTTTCTCAACACTTTTTTTGTTGTTGTTTTATTCTTACTTTTTTTGTTTAAAATAAATGCACTGTTGGTTAAGGGCTGTAAGTAAGCATTTCACTGTAATGTCTGCACCTGTTGTATTCGCCGCATGTGACCAATACAATTTGATTTGATTTGATTTGATTTGATTTGATTTGACATGGAACTCAAAAGGGTTCTCCCATGGAACCAAAAAGGGTGTGAGTGTAGTGACCACTCTGCAGAGCTGCCTCCATTACATGAGTCATGCCAATAAATGCCAACCTGCATAAAAAATAGCCCCCTCATGCTGGAAAGCTTGTTAGCTATGTTGTTTACTGTTGTCAATAAAGTTATCCTGCTCTTGACTAATGTTTCAAGTTTTACGTTTTTAATGTCACATGCACAAGTACAGTGGAATGCCTTTCTTGCAAACTCAAAACCCAACAATGCAATAATCAATAACAATGTAATACTAGACAAAACACACAAGAAAAATATGAAGAACACAATAAGTAAGTAAGCATACTATATACAGGGTCAGTTCCAGTACCATATTTACAGTGTGCAGGGATACTGGAGTGATGGAGGTAGATATGTACAGGGAGGGGTAAGGTGGCTAGGTATCAGGATATATGATAAACAGAGTAGCAGCAGCTTGTATGTGAGTGAGTGTGCTTGTGTGTAGAGTCAGTATAAATGTATGTGCATATTATGCGTGAGTGAGCAGATGCTGGACTGAGTGTGTGAGTGTGCATAGAGACAGTGCAAAAATAAAAGGTAAATAAAGATACAAGGTTAACTCAGATAGTCCAAGTAGCTATTTTGTTAGCTATTTTCAGTCTTATTGCTTGGAGATAGAAGCTGTTCAAGATCCTGTTGGTGTCAGACTTAATGCACCGGTACCGCTTGCCGTGCTGAAGCAGAGAGGATAGTCTATGGCTTGGGTGGTTGGAGTCTTTAACGATTTTCCGGGCCTTCCTTCCACACCGCCTGATATAGATGTCCAGGATGGCAGGGAGCTTGGCCCCAATGATGTACTGGCCTGTCTGCACCACCCTCTGTAGCGCCATGCGATCGAGGGCGGTGCTGTTGCCATACCAGGCAGTGAAGCACACACCCCTGTGGGGCACTCGTGTTGAGGGTCAGCATGGCAGAGGTGATGTTGCCTACCCTCACCATCTGGGGATGGCCCGTCAGGAAGTCCAGGATCCAGTTGCAGAGGGAGGTGTTCAGACCCAGAGTCCTAAGCTTGGTGACGAGCTTGGAGGGGACAATGGTGTTGAACGCTGAGCTGTAGTCAATGAACAGCATTCTCACATAGGTATTCCTCTTATCTAGGTGGGCGAGGGCAGTGTGGAGAGCAATTGAGATTGCGTCATCTATTGATCTGTTGGGACGGTATGCAAATCGGAGTGTGTCTAGGGTGTCTGGGATGGTGGAGTTAATGTGTGCCATAACCAGCCTCTCAAAGCACTTCATGATTACAGAAGTGAGTGCTACAGGGCGGTAGTCATTGTGGCATGAAGCCTTAGCGAACTTGGGGACAGGAATGATGGTGGTCATCTTAAAACATGTGGTGCTTGGTCCCTAAGACCCTCACAAACTTTTACAGATGCACAATTGAGAGCATCCTGTCGGGCTTTATCACCGCCTGGTACGGCAACTGCACCGCCCGCAACCGCAGGGCTCTCCAGAGGGTGGTGCGGTCTGCCCAACGCATCACCGGGGTCACACTGCCTGCCCTCACAGGAAGGCCAAAAAGATCATCAAGGACATCAACCACCCGTGCCACGGCCTGTTTATTACCCCGCTATCATCCAGAAGGCAAGGTCAGTACAGGTGCATCAAAGCTGGGACCGAGAGACTGAAAAACAGCTTCTATCTCAAGGCCATCAGACTGTTAAATAGCCGTCACTAGCCGGTTACTCAACCCTGCACCTTAGAGGCTGCTGCCCTATGTACAGTACATAGACATGGAACACTAGTCACTTTAATAATGTTTACACACTGCTTTACTCATTTAATATGTATATACTATATTCTACTGTATTTTAGTCAATACCACTCCGACATTGCTTGTCCTAATATTAATATATTTCTTCATTCCATTCTTTTACTTTTAGATTTGTGTGTATTGTTGTGAATTATTATATACTACTGCACTGTTGGAGCTAGGAACACAAGCATTTCGCTACACCCACAATAACGTCTGCTAAATATGTGTATTTGACCAATACAATTTGATTTGATTTTATTAAAGACTGGGATAAGGAGAGGTTGAAAATTATTGTGAATATGCCTGCCAGCTGTGCATGCTCTGAGAAAGCACCCTGGAATACCGTCGGGCCCCGTGGCCTTGCAGGTATTGATCTGATTTAAAGACCTTTCTTATGTCGGCCTCAGAGAGCGAGTGTCACACCCTGACTCTGGGGACTCGTATTTGTTGAGTCAGGGTGTGTATTTTCTGTGTGGTGTAGATCTAGATCGTGTAGATCTATGTTGACCGGTGTGGTTCCCAATCAGAGGCAGCTGTAGCTCGTTGTCTCTGATTGGGGACCATACTTAGGCAGCCTATTGGCACTAGTGGGTTGTGGGATCTTGTTCCGTGTGAGGTATGTTGTACCTTGGACTTCACGTTTCGTTTAGTTTGTTGTTTTGTTGTTGTGTTTATTCATTTTAATAAACATGTATGCATATCACGCTGCGCCTTGGTCCGTCCCGTCTGTAAGCGAACGTGACAGCGAGATCACCCTATCCTCTGGGTCGGTGATGCCTTCACACCCGGCACAATGTTGTTGTTGTCAAAGTGGGCAATAAGCGTGCATAAAATGTATTGAGTTCGTCTGGTAGAGAGGCATCGTTGGGCAGATCACGGTTGGTGTCAAAAGGTGAGACGCCGAAAGCCGGGAGTTCTTTAAAGTGACAACTGTATCTTCTTCCAACTTTTAATGATATTAAGAAGTCGTCTAGAAAGAATATGTTTTTAAGCGTAAGCAGCAGGCATGTTTGATTTGCCAACTCTGAGTCTTCCAGGAGACAGATTGTGTGCGATCATAAGTATGTCCGTCTTCAGTCTCTTAAGCTATCTTCGGGCTGTTTGTTCTACAGATTGGCATTGACATCCTGTTGCCTTCTCAAATGGTGGGAAAGCATGGAAGTTTGACACTTAAGACGTGTAATCACGCATGCTGGTTTCTTGGCACGGACGTGGTGTTTCACAGTTGAAGACTTTCCATCTGCAGCTGATTGACCCAAGAGCAGAATCCAGTGTGAGGCTGATCACAAGTGAAAAAAGTTGGTTTGGTTCCATGACCCTTAAAGTGAACAACAGCCAGCCTTCAGGGTATTGCGCTTAGGGAAAAAGTCTAGCTAGCATTTAATCCTTTGGCAGACTTCTAAATATGTTAGTCATAAGCAACTTCTCTTCCAGCGATATCCCATTTCGTTGTGTTTGTTTGTTGTATATTGAATGAGGAACTAACAAACTTTAATCAAACCAAACTGTGAAACCCCTGCAGTATATTCTGTTCTGGAACACGGTCCTTCCATTTCTTCCAGATTGAGCATACCTGTACCTTCTCAAAATGACACACACAACTGTAACAAAAGTCCCCTAAATCTCCAGACACCGCTTTTATAAGTCGACTCTCCAGGAGCATTTTATCTCATGGCTATAGGGAACATAAATTGTCCCTGACAGCTTCTCTAGGTTCATATGTATATATTGTCCAGTCACATTTAGTAGATGGACGTGATCTCAACGTTCTGCAGCTGTGGATGTACTCCATAACTGAATGGGCTTTCACTGGCAGCACATACTGTATAAAGCACATGCATTGCCGCGTGTTGACAAACACAGACCTGCTCTCCTACTGTATTCTCTCTGACTGTGTGTCCATCTGACATGAGTCCAACTTCACCCTTTCATACGTAGAGCTTCCCATCCCTCCTTCTGCAGCTACAGTAGTGGGGCACAACAGCCCCCCCACATCCTCACCAGAGAGACGGTAGTTAAACAGCGTGAAGGTAGGGGATATTTGCACCGAGCACTGTTGCACAACTGATGAGTCTTTTGGTGTGTGAGACCCTGAGGCGTCTCTCTTTCATCTCCTCTAATGAAGTTTGACCATGCATGAAGAGCTGCGGGCCAACCCCGTCTCCAGCTGCCTGCACAACCACAGCTTCAACATACACCGAGCTCAGACACTCAGGTACACACATGTAGCCCATTTACAATGTACCCCCACCACCACCACCGCCGCACGGAAAGCAAAGCAGGCACGTGTATGTACTCAGGAATATACATGTCGCACCTTAACAATGTGCAGAAAGCAGACACCGCCGCACGGAAAGCAAAGTGGACACGTGAATGTTGTACAACATGTATTGTTTAACAAGAAGCTTCTCTGCCTGAGATTCTGGAGTGTGCGGAGGGGAGATGTTGGCCCAATCCCAAGCCGAACCAAACCCCTCCCTGCTGCGTTAGACACCGCAATCACAAGGCTACATCCTCTGGGAAGTCCACTGGACGGCAGCACAATTATTATTAGGATAAGATTTCTTGTCAACACACAGATTGGCGCTCACATAGATTAACTTTTTTTAAATCATGGGATCCTGTCCAAGAAACACCCCAAGACAATCAACAGGCAGAGATACACACACACACACACACACACACACACACACACACACACAGCTATGTCCTACTATAATTCATTCCCATTCAAAATCCTATTTTCCCTAACCACTAAACCTAACCCTTACCCTAACCTTAAACCCTAACCCTAAACCTAACCCTAAACCTAACCACTAACCCTAACCCTAATTCTAACCCTAACCCTAATTCTAGCCATAAACCTAACCCCTAAACCTAAAATATTATTTTTACAAGTGAGGACAGGCAAAATGTCCTCACTTCTCAGAATTTTAGTTGGTTTACCATTCATATACACACTGCTGCTCAAAGAAAATGTTGATATTGGCGAGTGTTTGCATGTGAGCTAATACAGTGTATCGATCATCCATTGTTTTTAGCCTGACATTTCCCTTTTCATTTCTAGGAGAGTGAATTCATCATATTACATAACTACTGTATGTTTAATGGGCCAATCAGTAGACAGTTGAAAGTCCTGTAGCTCGAACAGTTTGAACATTATCTCTAACAAGAGGCAATTCAAGCTCCAAACCGACATTACAATTCTACAGGAAGACCAAAAAACATCAGAACAAAATTCAAGGAAACATAATGTATGTACCGGTGACAACCAAACTTCTGCTTTTCATTCAGTTTTTGAGTCAAACTAATTATTATCTTGCACAATCACAGTTACAGTGGTTTTGCACCTGAATCTAAATGCATTGCATTAATGGTCAGTAAGTCGCTTGGATAAAAGCATCTGCTAAATGGCATATATTATATTGTTATTCTAATGAGGATACCATTCACACTGTGGTTTCGCTGCAGTCAAGTCTGCACAACTCTATACATTATGCATTGTCCCAAACATTTTGGTCAATACTTTTGGGATAATTTCATGGGACTTTACAAACTGGACCAACTGGACCATGAAACCCCTACTTTATGTTCACATAGCAATTTGGTTTTGGCAAAGCAATTTTTTTCTATACAATGTCAATGGCATTTGGAGAACATATTCAAAGTCAGCAAAACATTGCATAGTGCACAATGCACAATGATAAGCAACAACACAAAACCACTTTCCGTCACAAATGCATTGGCAAAAACATAACATGCATGCTCAAAACTATACATAAAACACGTAACACAAGACCACACTATCCAGAAACACAATACACCGGACTTTACAGAACAGCCAATCTGTGCACTTGCCTCTAATCCTCTGTGCAGGGATGCAGCTGAGGAGAATGGATCCAGCGAGGAGCAGGAGAGAGACTCTGAGGAGCATGGTGCCTGCCATGGAGATCTCTGGACAGGGATGCTGGACAACTTCAATAAGGTAGCAGCTCAACTTAGGACTTGTGCAGCGCTCCGTTGAAACACTGTGGAGTGGAGATGACCACCGGACCACGAAGCATCTATACTAGCAGGATAGGAGAAGGGTGGGGGTGGGAGGGGACTTCCGATGTCACAACCACAACCCCACACACCACACACCCTATTCTTGGGTGGGTGGGGAGGGTGGTGGCTAAATGCCTGGAATCTCACTGAAATGTTTCCCTCTATTTTTCCCTCCCTCCTTTTTTGCATCACCCACCCGGTTTTCCCCTCCTCCTCCACCTCCCCTTCCTCCTCCTCCTCCCCTCCTCCTCCTCCCCTCCTCCTACTCCTCCTCCACCCCTCCTCCTCCTCCTCCTCCCCCCATACTCCTCCTCCTTCTTCCCCTTCCTCCTCCTCTCTCTCCTCTCTCTTCCCTTCTCCTCCCCTTCCTCCTTTCCCTCCTCTTCTCCTCCTCCTCCTCCTCCCCTCCTCCCCCCCCTCCTCCTCCTCCTCCTCCCCCCTTCTCCACCTCCTCCTCCTCCCTTCTCCTCCTCTCCTCCTCCTCCTCCTCCTCCTCCTCCCCTTCCTCCTCCTCCTCCCCTCCTCCTCCTCCTCCTCCTCCTCCTCCTTCCTCCTCCTCCTCCTCCCCCCCTTCTCCTCCTCCTTTGTGTGATTTTTTTTTTTTATCCTTTGTTCAACTCAACTGATATTGTGATGTAGATGCCAGGAGGTGCCAATGTGGTTGGCAAAACAGGGGGGGGGGGGGGGGGGGCACAGGGGGAGAACAGGAGTGGCACCCTCACTCCATCCTAACCTATGGCCTTGGGAGTAAAGTTAAACTCATGCAGTGTAGTTTGTATGACACACTCCCATCTCCACTTCTGCCCAACATGTGCACACAGTGCAGACTAACCAGTACCATGTTTTTAAGCACTTTGCTTTTGGAACACACTACACAACAGTACATTCTTTCTGAGCACAACTAACACGAGTGGAGCAGCGTCATCGGGTCTCGAAATCCAACCTCCACTGGAGCTCTTTGGGAGGCAGTGACCATGCTCTCCCGCCAAGAACTGGAGCCCCTAGGATAGAGGGGGTATGAGTGGGGTTGGTACGGAGGAGAGGAGGAGGAGGGGATGGAGGGAATGGGGGTGTGTCCACACACTTCCTTCCAGCTGATTATGGTAGGAGTCCCATCCAACCCACACGTGCTATCGCATGCGACAGGATACAGACTGACAGTTGTTCCAGACAGAGTGCCTGCCTGCTCCATCCCACAGGAACTGAATAAAGGCGTATTCATGATTCATGCTGCACTCCACTAAATCACCAAATCCAGATTTTATGCAATGGACAAATTAATGGGTGACTGACTGACCACCAGAAGTATGAATAACAGAAACCAAAACACACATGTATTCTGACTTTTAAAAAAAAGAAGGGCTGTTAAGGGAAAAAATTAAATGTTGAAACTTGGGAAACACATTAACCCCTCGTACTCGTTGGACCATTCCTGCCAGAGACACAGTGACCAACAAGCATTGACATGCAGGTAACCAAAGTCAACACCCAAGCTGAGTGGCGGACTGGAACCAAAAATCAGCCCCGGCATTTCTAACACACCGGCTCACTTTTTTCCTTGTGGCCCCCACACCGGACCATTTTTTTCCTGGCGGCCCCCACAACAGCCCATTTCTTCCTTGAGGCCACCATTATTAGCCAGACAGTGATCATTCTGCGCCAAAAAAAGTTAGACTGGCCCACTAGGCTAAAAATGGACCAGCCCACCTGGCATTTGCCCGAGATGCCAGATGTCCAGTCCGCCCCTGCCCAAGTCCTGTACAGTTGTGAAACTTCAGGGTCCTTTTTCATCCTCTTGACTGCAAACAAACATGTTGTTTTTGCCTGACCAGGGGGCCAGGCTGGCTCCACGCCCGATCCAGTTAAAGTGAAATGATACCACATCAAAAGAGAACCAGAGCAGAGTGTTCAGTAGTGACAACGGCTTGGACTAATTAGGGCAAGGTCTGGACACACTGTAATCAGAAAGTTTGGCCCCAGTAACCAGAAACAGTTTTACCTCAGAGCACATGGCTCTTACATTGTTCTGCTAATTAGGACAATGACTCAGTGGTTGAGTGACCCATTAATGTTTAACTCTGACAGTAAAGTACAGATCGTTCTTGTGTTTGTGCACTTCCTGTAGGGGTAGATCACCGTCACTATAAACATGTGACTGCTAATAAAGCTCATGAGTTGATTGAACTTATTGTTCTGCACATTGAGATCTGAATATCAAGCATCACTTGACATTTTTGAGAAAAACATAGGTGTTTACTGGCTTCAGATAATAAAACCCTGATTGTTTTGTTGTTGTTATTTTGCTTAATAGAGCTCAATTAGACCTTTGAACAAAGATTTTAATGGCCACAGCTTGATTCATAAAAAACAGCACGTCTGTGTACGTACATGCCCATACAGTATCTAACTGAATCTGACCACAAAGAAAACCCCAAAACATTATCCTTCTGGGAATCTGAGGACCAGTTCCCACAGGCTCAAATTGATAGGAGCCGTTATTGTTGTGAATGGGGAGTCTCTTAAACCAATTGAAGCGTTTCTTCTGCCAAAGCATCCCAGTCTCAGTGGTGCAGAGTGGTGGCAGCACCTGCACCATATCACCATGATGAGTGATGAAACCACTGGAGAGGCTAGATCGCTCTCCAATCCACTGACAAGGTTGCTCAACATAAAATAAAAACCTATTTTCTATTCTCTAGTCTATTTAGAAAGAAAATCATTTTCTCCTCTGCCTTACAATGGCCCCTTTGTCTCCCTCACCCATGTCTGGGCAGAGTAGGGAGGGAGGGAGGGAGAGAGAGAGAGAGGGAGGGAGAGAGAGAGAGAGAGGGAGGGAGAGAGGGAGGGATAGAGGGAGAGAGGGAGGGAGAGAGAGAGAGGGCACTTTTCCATAATGCCCTGAATGGGTTCCCAGGTAAACGTGTAGCCTGGCTGCACAACTCTGCAGGCTAAGCATGTACTTTCTCACATCTTTGTCACTGGATGAAAGTTTGGGAAGACAGAAAATAAGAATACAACAAGTTATATTACCCCTATCTGTGTTCAAGAGGAGCAAAACAAATACATTTACAGAAAAATTTACAGTTTTCTCAATTATAAACAATACTAATGGACACAGACAGAGATAAACCTCTACAATTCCAAATCTATTCAGATTTGCTCAGGTGACTCAGTAATCTTTCACAACCCCCCCCCCCATCAGGAAAGTACTTTGTTGCTCATGATGGCTTCCTCCTGTTTCCAAAGTTTGTCACTGGTGCTGTTGATGTTTTCTTGCTGTGTTTCCTTCCCTGGTCCTTTCCAATCTCAATCCTCTGCAACGAAATGAAGGGCCACCTGGGCTTCGTCAAGCCACGACCCCCAGTTCAAACACTCCAGTGTTGAAGACACCCCACTAAAAAATCCCTCAGCAACACACGCCAGCCTGCGGAGTGTAGAGTTTATGCATCTGCTACTGGTGATTAACCTCCGTTCAAGGTTCAATTCATCATCATTACGCCTATCTGTACTTTGACCTGAGAAGTTCGATCATCCACGATTTGTGGTTTTGACTAGATGGGATACAGTTTATGTCAGAATTGACCAGAATTGACTTTGTGTAGCAGGTAGGGGAACTTATGCAGCAGGTTAGGATAATTAACGTAACAGGTTAGAAAAAGGTTTAGGGTTAAGGCGTCCCTTACAAAAAAGGATTGCAGTTTTGAAACTGCAGTAAAAGTGCAGTAACTGCAGTCAACTGTGGTATTTTGGACGCAGTGATTGCAGAATAATCGCAGTGTACTGCAGTTGAACTGCAGTTATACTGCACTCTAACTGCAGTTACACTGCAAAATTACTGCAGTAAAAAAAACTGTGTTATTTTGGACTTCGGTATTTGCAGCATACTGCAGTTATACTGCACTCTGACTGCAATCTCTTTCGTAATGGGTCCGGCATCTTTCCAGCCGAAACAGTTCGGAAGAGTTTGTGCATATATTATGGCAACATTTTGTGACGTTTTTGTTTGTTTTGGATTGGTCAACAGTAGGAATTATTCAATAAAGTCTTTGTTGTCATTCAACGAGGTACGACTCATTTTCATGCACATTTTCTATTGAAAAATACTGCACATCTAAGTTAGATGTATAATTGCAAGACTAAGATCTCTTCGGCAAAAAAACTTTCTTAGATTTATTCTGACTATTTTGAGGAAGTGTATACTGGCTACGGCGTCTCAAAATGGACAAACAGTACTATTACCACTTTTTTCTAGTTTTTCAAGGGAAGGTCTTTTAAGGGAGTATGAGAGTTTTCAGCCTAACTGAAGCATGCTGACGCGTTTAGCCTAATGTGTGTGTCCTGTCCACAGCTCGGGGAAACGTGTACTCTCCCGGGGAAACAACGAAGGTCAGCTAGGTCTGGGAGGCAATGAGGAGAAGACAGCCTTCCAATTGGTGGACTTCTTCAGTTCACATGGACCAATCAAAATGCTTGCTGCCGGCTCCAACACCTCTGCTGCCCTCACAGGTAAGACTAACAAGCCGCCAACTGAACTGAAGCATGCTGACGCCTTTAGGGTTAGCTAAAATGCAAAATATTTCAACTTTAGAAGTCAATTTGACATAAACTGTATCCTATCTAGCCATGTTGAATTAGTCATCTCTGGAGTTCACTCACTGTTACTATATACTGAAACTGGGCCTCCAATCCACAGATGTTTAGTGTTCACCCATGGCCTCAATAACTTCCCAAACACCACATGAGAAGTTCTATATCTCAACTTGATGAATATGAGGAGTAAATGGATTGCCATGCGTTGGCTGCTCTCTCCATGTCTCTGCTCCGTGTCTTCCATCTCTAGTCTCTTGTTAAACCCACAGTGGTTAATGGGCCACAGGGAGACAGACCGTCTCCGGTGGAGGGAGCTACAACCAGATCCTGCAGGACCCGTAGATCAGCCCGCCTTAACTATTAGCATGGGATGGGGAGCCTCTGTTTCTACTACTCTTGGGTGGAGCATTGTGTTATATGGGTCAGAAGTTCTTCCTCGTTCTGCTTCAGTAATCAAGATCAGTTGTTCCTCTTCCATTGTTTTATCACATCTAAATGCCCTGGACATCCCACTCAGCAATGAAAGTCATATGGCCGAGGAGATGGCCCACATGTTTGTTGTCCTCCGCTTGCTGGGGAGTTGAAGAGAAAACCAATGAGGAGTTTTATTTCCTGTAAAGACCCTAAAGGCTTAGCTTGTCCTCCTTTCCCCAGGGTTAATGGAGAAGCTCCCCCGCTCAACACTATCGCACCACACCAGCATATCTAACACCATCATAGCCCAATGGAAGCAGATGTGCACTGCACTCGTCCTCCGTCAGCGTCCTACTTTCTCTGGCCATATGGAGGTCTGGGTTCTACCCTGGCCTCATGCCCCTGACATTGGCAGACCAAGGTGACGGCCATCAACACAGAGATTTACGAACTTTTACATAGTGATTCTCAAGATGGATTACCTTCATTCCGATGGAAATATGGCTCGTGAACCAGCAAAATGGATAAAAAATATATACAATTAGAAAGTTTTAGCCTTTTTTTCGGTCAGCAGGTTTAGTGATTTGGAAAACGGTTGCAGATGTGGCCCAGATGGGCCAGCCCTTATAACGGCACACCATGTCAATTCCCCCAGTTGGATAGTCTCAAGATTGGCGAGTTGGAGGAGAAAATCATTTGATATTTTCCATCCCTCAGTACAATCTTCTCAGTTCATTCGTGGGCGACTGCAGGAGGACTAAGGGCTGGATTCAATCCGTATCACAGAAGATTTGCATTCAAATTTAAACGTAATTTCCGATTGAGCCGACATGTGCAGAGTTTGCCGTTAATGCAGTCTCCGTGAACACGGGAACATTGCCTTTAAAATCAAGCTATAACGCAGATCTTACGCAATACTTCGGCGATACGGATGAAGTCCAACCCTGAGTTATTGTGTTATCTTCTAAATGTTAGGTAGTAAAAGTTTGTGGCAAGAAAAGCATGTCTCGCGTCAACACTCGGAGAAACAAATGGGGTCGTTTTTCAACAGGTTGCAGAGATTCAGTCATTGAAGTATCCACCCGTGAACTTTGGCCTCGCTGGCAACATTATTAGACAACACATGAAGGAAATATCAGAGCAGCTCTCCATTCTGCATATGGTACTGGACACCGTCACGTCGTAAACTTGCAAACCTTGTCATCCTTTCATCACGCGGTTGCCCGTGGATGAGGCAGGAATCCAGACCCCTTTTTATTTTTATCAACCTGTGTTGGCAGTGAGTTTGAAGACTAACAGTACGAGGAAGCCACATTAGGAGCAAGCATCATGGCAGCACCATTGAAACAGTGATGTATGGAATGTTGCCTGAGAGGAAGCACCATGCAGGATGGAGTGCTGCACCATTAAGAGCGGCCTCACCTGTGATCTGTAGGCAACACAAGGCGAGGCTACTCTCAGAGCAGCACGTCTTACCCATAAATCCACCTTGACTCAACCTACCAGTAAACAAAGACTCCTCCCTGTCCCAGTTCATGTCAGGGTAGTGTAGCTCAATTGGTAGAGCATGGCGCCTTGTAACGCCAGGGTAGTGGGTTCGATCCCCGGGACCACCCATACGTAAAAATGTATGCACACATGACTGTAAGTCATTTTGGATAAAAGCGTCTGCTAAATGGCATATTATTATATTATATAGTGGCATTTATTAGAAACGTGAGATGGCTTCATGTTTCACTCCTGATTTTAAACCTTCACGCTCATCCATTGCCATGCACGGTCGGCTGAAGACAAGACACCTGGCCTGCCTGCTATTGTGTGGGATGGGGAATCGAGAGATGGGGGTTGTGATTGGAATGTTTTCTCATATGTCTAAGAACACAGTAGGAAAGTTACTGAGAACATCATAGCCTCAAGTTGTAAAACAGACACTGGGCAGCCGTTCATTGTGCTGAACCATTTAACAAGTTTCTGACGAACAATGTCCCACTTTCTGACGTCCGTCGTTACATAATCTCTTGGATGAATGGTTATGAAAACTCCAAAGTTACCAGGAACCCAAAATGATGAATGCTGATAAAAAGCTGAATGAGGCAAACCCAGTAGGGTTTAGCCAGTAAGGTCTTGTGTTAATTCACAACGGTTACATTGAACGGTATAACAGCAGTGTGTAACAAAGACTCTGTTTGAACATTTGTGCTGAGTTGTGTATTAAGATAGAGCATGCGGCTGTTCATGACGTGAGGATTTGTCAAAGTCAGACTTTCCTGTAAATCATTCCAAGCCTAGATGACAGGTTTTTATGTAATGATTTTATTTATACTCAAGATTTCTTTCTAAGAACTGATATTCCAACATTTGAATAATAACACATTCTGAGAATCTCCGGCTAAGCAAAATCTAAAAGACATGGATAGGAAATGGTAGATTTACTGGAAGATATTTATACTTTAGTGACCACACCTATCTAATACTGTTAAGTGTTAAGCCAAAGTTCATGAAATACAAAGTAATGACAGATTCAATGCGTCACTCTGCTTCAAAAATGTTAGCATCGGACAAATCGTAGAAATCCTGCAAATGTATTCAGTTATTCTTTTATACTTTTGGAAAAAAATAAAAGTCTGTTGAGCTGTTAGCATATTAATTCAGATAAGTCTCACAACAAAGACCCTGTAGTAAATGTCCTTATGTATGACATTTTGGAACACTTCAGATGATTAACAGGCTATGGTCCCGTGTGGCTCAGTTGGTAGAGCATGGCACTTGCAATGCCAGGGTTGTGGGTTTGATTCCCATGGGGGACCAGAACAAACAAAATATGAAAATATTTGCACTCACTACTGTATATGTCGCTCTGGTTAAGAGTGTCTGCTAAATGACTAAAATGTACATATCAGGATTGATTCTTGTATGGTAAACCATCAATGGACACAGCATTGAAGTTGGCTGTTGTGTAGTTTGTTTCAATAGGCACAATGGATTCTTGGCTGTCGAATCTACTAAACATTTTGACAGTACATAAAAATTCCTGCCGATTATACGTGTCATGTAGGCATGCCAGTGATACCAGAGAGAGACACATTTGTCAAAATCATACCCAATGTAGACAAATAGGTGCCATATTTCCAGAGCTAGGACAGACTGCTAGTGGGCGTAAGCCACAACCTGGTCTAACGTGATGGGTTCTTCAGGATTAAATAAACATGGAAACACGCAATTGAAAATAAATGAGCTTTTGTAAGTCTGGTTTATCCCTGATGTTCCTGGCGTAATGGGTGAGCACAGCTGTAGAAATTGGCATGAACCGCCTTGTTATCCAGATAGATACTCTTACCAGAGGCGTTCTGGTGACATGAAAAACGATATCAGAAGAGGCCAATAAGGACATCAACAACAAAAATATACCTTAAGATATTGTGAAAAAATATATGCCTCGTTAGATCACTGTTAGAATAATCCAAACAATTGATATGAAATGACTTCTACATCTGTTAGGCTCAATGTAGAACCTCAGCTGAGACAGCACACAAAAAAGGAACTACAAGACAGATGATCATCTCCAAGTGGTTTCTGGAGGACTTTCAGATTGATCCGTTTGTTTTCCCAGAAGTCTGATTAATCTGAGGTTGTTCTCTGGTTTTAGGATCTGCCTCCGGGCTTCAGTCGGAGGTGATTAATGCAAATAAACGTGAACAGGAAAAATATACAGACAACGCTTTGAGCTGCGAAGGGCAGAGCACGGGCCAATGGGCCAATCAGAACAATCAAAGCTCATGGCAAATAAATCAATCAGGAGAACTAAAGCGTTTATATGAAACGAGGGAAAGAAAATATGATTACCAATAACAATTCATTTTTCACAGGATTGTGTTTGTTTTCAAAACCAAAGAACATGTAGTCCGTTTCAAACCAAGTCTAGCAACATCTGGACATTGAGGTCGTTTTCCACTTCATAATTAACGTTTGTTAAAGTCCATATCTGGGTATATAATACATGGCCTACAGTGAAGGATTACAGTGGCAAACCATGAGGACCAAATATCCATACTAAAACTCAGTAATATTGTTGTGAATGTACATATTTCACATTCAGAATGCATTACCCGTCATCAGGAAGATTCCAAAGATCACAACAGATATTTGCCTGTCAGTCATCAATAATAGTTTCCAGTAGGTAATCAGTATCATCAGCCAAACAGAACTGGAAATAATTGTGGGATATTAGCTACCAAGTTTGTGTTGTTTCACAAGTCCTTCTGTGCATTTTTGTGTAATCCAAATGGGAGCTTGACTTGTTAGCTCATTTCCCAGAAGGCTTTGCAATGAAGAATGCTAGGCCATATTTCACATGTGCTCTTCCTGGAGCAGTTTTGAATTCATTGGATCTGACTGTAAGATTACCCTTTATATTGCAACTTGTAAAATCTAAATCTATATTTTTTACCCCTTTTTCGTGATATCCAATTGGTAGTTACAGTCTTGTCCCATCGCTGCAACTCCCGTACAGACTTGGGAGAGGTAAAGGTCAAGAGCAATGCGTCCTCCGAAACACAACCCTGCCAAGCCGCGCTGCTCACTTAACCCAGAAGCACCAATGTGTTGGAGGAAACACCGTACAACTGGTGACCAAAGTCAGCATGCATGAATCTGGCCCGCCACAAGGAGTCACTAGAGCGCAATGGGACAAGGACATCCCGGCCGGCCAAACCCTCCCCTATCCCGGACAATTGTGCACCGCCTCATGGGTCTCCCTGTCGCAGCTGGCTGCGATACATCCTGGGATTGAACCCAGGTCTGTAGTGACACTGTGATGCAGTGCCTTAGACCACTGCGCCACTCGGGAGCCTGTAAAATCGTTTTTTAACAATATGAAAGTATGAATATGGGAAATAAGCACGCTACATGTACAGCACAATATGCTCTCTTCTTTGATTCAGTTTCCGCCTGTTGAAAGTATACCTTTTTAAAACACTATATTGAAGTAGGCCCATTTTTTTTCTATGCAGACTATATTCTCGACATATCCATAACTACTGATACATTAAAGTAATACCTTTTTATAGATGGAGTCAGGACATTGTGTAGCCTAGTGCAGGAATGATTCCTTGGGTCTTTAATTTCAACCTGCGAGCCAGGACTGAGAGGATATGGTTACGCAACCAAAGCCATGGCTCTCTTAACTACTGTTGACAGGATCCTGACAAAGTACGGTCGTTTAATTGAGGCTGGAGGAGGGGAGCAACGATCTAAGGGGCACTTGTTCTTACTTAGCACGACTGTGTTCCACATTAAATGATTTTTGCCAAGTCAAGATATTTTCCAGTCACTGTAAGAGGACGTTAAGGCTAACACGTCGCACCTGTTTCAGTAGAAGAGATTTCTGATTTCTCACACAAACTCAATAGAGGTCTATTTGTTTGCCCTATATGTGGAGAGTGGCCATTCTACCAAGTTTTATTAAGCATCCAGGCCTAATCACACAGGAAAACCAAATCATAAATGTAGCTTTCTTGGACCTTTGATTGGGGTTTAAGGTTAATCTGTGTCAACTCACACAGGAACATGTTGTCGGGCATAGACTAGGAGACATATGATTTATTAGTATCTGATTGTATCCTTGTGTGGGCTGAGGGATTATTGGCCATGTGTTGTAAGTGACATGGCTGGATGTGTTAAATATAGGAGCAACTCATACCAGATTCATGATGACATCATTCATGTCATCAAATCCCTAAAAGTGGTTTACACAGGCAGCCACATCAGTGTACAGATATTATTGTGACACAGGAATGGCTATTGGTACTATCCTAACCACAGGTGGCTGCTAAGGGGAGGACAGCTCATAATAAAGGCCGGAACGGCACAAATGGAATGGCATCAAACACCTGGAAACCATGTGTTTGGCGTATTTGTTACCATTCCACTGATTCCGCTCCAGTCATTACCACGAGCCCGTTCTCCCCAATTAATGTGCCACCAACCTCCTGTGATTCTAACCAACCAATTTACTACTAAAACCTTCAGATTAACATCTGGAACATCAACATAAAGTAGGCCTTGTTCTCTGTGTTGAATTTTGTTTATTCCGGGACTAATTCACAAACTGGGAGAAGTACATTTGGGGCTGGAATCCCAGACACAGATTAAGCCTAGAACTAAAAAGCGTTCTCAACTGAGATTCTCCTTTAAAATCAGTTTTAGTCCAGGACTAGGCTTGTTCTGTCTCTGGGAAACCGGCCGTTGGAATTCAAATGGAGGTTCTCTCCTTCTCATCGTTTAATATGTGTCATATAATGTTATAATACTTATCTGAGCATGCAAACCAACTGTAAAACATCTCACAAACCTCCTACGAGGACACTGAAGCACTCTCCACCTTCTCATCAGGCTCACATTACTATGCACAGCATAACTTTATAGTCTCAACCCTTTGCCTTGAACAAACACATGAAGTGAAATAACTCCAAGACACAGTTTGATGATGGCACAGTCCCATATTCTATACTCCAACATAAAGTCATTGGGAGTTGCTTGGGAAAATATGAAGTGCTTTACTTTACTGAAGCAGTATTGAATGAGTGACAAGAGAATTGGTGGCTGAGGGTGAGGAAAAGGGATATTAGCAGCCATATAGAACAGTACATGCAGTAGGTGCTGGATGTAGATTTACTAACACACATTTCATTCTGACTGACTTTCACCTGGAATGAATGGACAGCTAAAAGTCCCACTCCTCTCCAGACACACAAAGGTTCTCTATCAAACTAAAAAGAATACAAGCTGTTTCGGAGCCTTACACAAGCCCTCAATGAGAATCGCTGAATCGCTTTGATGGTGATGGTGCAAACTCTCTCAAGACTCAATGTGATCTCACTGTTAGTCCTGAGAATGAGTCTCTACAGAAAATGAAGACCCCCTGCTTCCATGACCAGTGACACCTCTTTGATTATGGAACATAGTCCGTCAGTCTATCAGCTTTCCTGCCCATCGGATTGGTTGATTTTCCATTTAGAGGAGTCACCAATGAATGCACTAAGAATACATGTAGATGTATGGAACCATTCAAGGGCCTACGATATAGACATCTAGCACTACCTCATAGAAAGTCCACAGAGGCCTCTGATACCACTGTTTCATATTGAGTGGCTTTTAAAGTAAACTGGGAAAGCATTACTATTCCCCTCTATAATACGGTTAGCCACAGAAGACTATATGACTGGAGCAAAGGCCAACGAAAACAGGTCGCAATAAAAAGCTAACCAGGGAGTGATGTTGAACAGAAAAGTGGCATTTCACAGAGTTAGATTTCAGAGACCCTTCCGCTCTTCCCATAAGTCATCTTTCAACCGCTGCTGTATCCGCTGTTGTCATATCATTTTGGTTTTCCTGTGGTATTTCCCACTGTTGACTTTACATTTTATTTTATTTTCTCTCGTTGGATAGTTAAAGTGTTCATAATGGTCTGGTTATGAGGTGAAGGAGTGCTACTCTGAAGAGGTGCCTTGTGAGGAAACCAAATGGCTGCAGGTGGTCATTTATAACTAACAGCTTATCAAGAGCACACTGTGTCCTGAACACAACTTCAGGATATTCCCCTGTATTCTCTCCAGTGACTTCTTCCCTATGCTGCTATGTTTTGTCACGGTTCATCAACGAGAACCGATGTTCAGACAAACCGTATACAGAGAACCAATGTGGCTGTACAGACAACAATTGCTTGTCTCATGTTTGTAAGAGACCTTTAACTCCGGCCCAGGCTGAATATCTCAGGAGGATGTTCAATCAAACTCACAAACTGACATGTGTTTGATACTGGTACACAAACAGATGGCTGCCATTGATGTACTGAGCAGAACTAGTGCCACCTATCCTCCTCAGCATCCTTCATTCATTGGCCTTTTTCTTCCTTTCTCTCTTTCTTTCCTTCCTCTCTTTCTTTCCTTCGTTTCCTGACAGGGCCGATGTGCCGCCAGCGCAGGCAGGTTTTATGGTCATCAGAAACTCCAGGGGCCAGGCCGCTCCTCCTTCCAGTGGAGTGTGACTGAGTCAGGCCTGTAGGAGCCATTACAGTCAGCGGGTCTGCCTTGGCTTCCCTGGGCCCAGCACCAGAGCTCTGGGGTTCAAAGGCTGTTATGCAATGGTGTACCTCAGTCCTCAACCCAATACCTCACAAAATACAGGGGGTTTTATGGTGTGGAGTAAATTTGTATAAAATATTTTGGAGCTGATCTGTCCTCAGATCAGTGCCATGGGGCTTTTAGAGGCACTGAAGTGCTCAGGTTGGGCTCTTTAAAGAGCCGTAGATGGGAAAGCTGCCCGGGGCAGATCTGGGATCAGATTGTGTAGGACTCTGTGTGCAGTGTGCACACTTTCTAGTTGTAGTTCATAAAACCTTGATACTAGAATATCTATCTCAAAGACATTATTATTTTTGTGATGCAATAATGTATGTTTGCTTTTATGTATCTATGCTTGACAAAACAACGTTCCATTCTGTGCATGAAGGATCATATTTTACGAGCTACCCTGCAAAGCCGGAAACTCCCCAGGCCTATTTGATTGAATATGGCCCGTAGTGTAGTGAGGTCAGATGAAAAGTATGCGGGCCCACCGCTGTTAACATTAACCATCCAGAGAGATTATGTTGCACACCAATTCACCTCTTCCTTTCCCCAGCGAGGATTGTGTGCAGCCCAAGCAGCAAGAATGTCGGTTGGGCACAGAGAGAAAGGCCTGGAAAAGTTCTGATTCTATAGCATCCCATAGAGTTTATATTGAATTAAAGTCTCGTCGTAATCCAACATTATGTAACCAACGGTTTCTCTTCTTAGGGCTGTGGATAACGTGTCCTTCGTTTCCATGGTGAAGCTCCCAAAATAAGAGCAGAGCATTCCGAGTTATGGAAACCAAGGAAACACCTGACAATCTGGTCTCCAATCATGCAGCATAAAAATTATGAAGACGATGTTTTCATTCTGTGGTTCCAAAAGACAAAGACTTAGAGAACATTAAGATGAAATATCATCGCCACAATTATATTGGGTTACATAATCAAGAGACTAGTTTATTATATTTGTGGCAGACTCCGCACCGCGCTGGCAAGCGAAATGAAACCGCATCTATCAGGTTTGTCATTTGTGGTATTGTTAGTATTTAGCAAACGTTGATAAACGGGAGGCTGTAGAAAATGACAATACGTGATGATGGATTGGAGTCGTGAAGTTAAACCACCAAATCCTGAAGTTGAGGACGTGTCTTATCCAATCATGTGTTTCCCAAATGCTGCTCTCTCTCTCTGCTTCAGAATCAGATGGAGTCGCTGCCAAGGAAAACAGACGTAACAGACAAGATTTGTGTAATATTTACAGAAAATAGGTTTCAGACCACAGCTAAAATCCATAAACTATGTAGGCACAGGAAACAGTTTATTTATGAAATGTTAGCCGCTAGAGAGTTTCTAGAGTCGTCATACTGTATCTCATGGTCACCAAGGTCGCAGAGAACACCACCACCACATTTGGCTAAGTCAAAGGAGTTCTTAGAACAATGCCATCAATAGCTGACAACATTAGTCAAAAGCTGGCACCCAAAAACCCCGTAAGTGAAAGCCTTACTAACGTCCTCTGTAAACAGTCATAGGAACAGGTGCATATATATCCCACAGGTCAGGTTCAACATCAATCAATCCTAATAGCCATCCATAAAGAGGGGGAACTAAGCACACAGAGAGAACACACAGCAGCTTCTGACTGATTGAATGTCAAGCCCAGGAGTTAGAGTTCGGGAGCTCTCTTTCTCTCTCTTGGTCCTGTCGTCCTGCATAGCCAAGATGCGGTGGAGTGTTCCTCCTCTTTCTGAGCTGTTTGTTCTGCAGCAGCTGTCTGCAACCCTATCCCAGGGTGTTTCTGTTTCCCATGGAGCATTGGGAGCAGCACTCCGGGGGCTATGGCTGTCACAACAGGCCGTAAACCATACGGTGTGACCTCAATGGGACCACTCACCATCAAGGACACTAAGGGAAAGGGAAAATACTTGCTTTCGGACAAGTACATTTTTCCTAATGGACTCATGAGAGAGGGTTGACTGACACCTGAGAGACACAAGGACCAAAACAACAACATAACAACAACAGAGTACGAGAAACAGTCTCTCTGAGAACTATAATTATATAGTTGCTGAAAACCGGAGCCCCATAGACTTACAGTGTACGCTTTCTGCCCTAGTAAAAATGTAAGTCACAGTTGCCCAAAAAAACAAAACTTCTACATAAGGCATTTCCCTCCATGATTTTGGTCCTTAAGCTGAAGATCCTTAAAGCTCTGTGGTTAAGACATCTGAATGGATGGTGTAGATTTCCTTCTGCCTAAACAATCCATTGAACAAATTACCCTAAAGCTGATATTATAACCATTTAGCAGACATTTTCCAAGCCTGGACATGAAATTAAACTATTCCAGGTCTCCTAGGTCATATATCAGAGAAGGATTATGTCATACTAACAGGTAATAATAAAGTAGTTAATGGTGCATGAAATAACCTAAAGGCTAAATGTTCAATTGCATAATGTGGCCTATTCGTTTTCTTCTAGACCTCCCCTAAGAAGGGATGAACATCATCAGTTTACTATGAGGAAAGAGATTCAAGGGAATAAGGTTCCACAGTACTGAACCAATTTTCTTTATGTTAGCATAGAGATGCAATAGGTGTTTTTAATCCTGTGCATATCACAATGTAGGAGTCACAATGGCATGGGTAATGTTGACGCTAGCATAATGACGAGATCTTTGAGCTTTTGTCTTTTCTTGATAGCTAAACCATCCTGTGTATCTCGAGGAAATCCTCTGTGGCTAAAACCATTTGGTCATGCATTAGGGGACACATTTATACAGGCCCAATGTATTATGGTCCACCAGCGTTGCTTTAATATGACACATTACATTACAATGGAACGATTTGATTATTGTAATGTTGGCTAGCTACATAGTTGTATTTGTATCAAAGATAAAGGTGTAGTATAGAGTAACTATCGAGGTTAGCTAGCCAGCTATATTCGTTCGCAGCGACAACACGACAAGTCAACACCGCAGCCATTGCTAGCTAGCCAACACTACCAGCACTGTAGCAACTAAATACAATATCCTTTTAGCCAGCTACATTCGTTCGCAGCGACGCCGTTTTTCAAACAAAGTCATCACCGCAGCCATTGCTAGCTAGCCAACGCTACCAGCTGGCAGTACTATAGCAACTAAATACAATATAATTTTAGCCAGCTACATTCGTTCGCAGCGACGCCGTTTCTCAAACAAAGTCAACACAGCAGCCATTGCTAGCTAGCCAACGCTAGCAGTACTGTAGCAGCTAAATACATTATCTTTGTGCTAGCTAGCCAACGTTTAATTATTGCTGCGTTATGAAAGGAACTAGACACGGACACGAATTATCTGTTTAGCGTGTTAACACACTATTGGTAGTTTGTTGTAACCAAGTATTGGTGCTAAACCGTGTGTTATTGGATGCTAGCATGCTAGTTAGCTATGGCGTCATAGTTAGCTAGCTGAATAAAGTAAGTTGAGTCTATTCCTTGAAACATTGAACCGCTGTATCTTACAACAATTCTAATTTCTAAAGTGGAAGTTGGGAGAGTTTTATTCGGGTGTTTCAGTGAAACAATTATAGTTTCTGAGGTGGAAGTTGGGAGAGTTATATATGGGAGTTGTGGTAAGGGAGGCCCCGCTCTCTCCTTTCCCAGATGTTTAGTTCATTTCATTCCGATCTCCTCTGCATTATTGTAGCCATTTGCTACAGCCTGTCAACTATGCCTCTGCCTATCCCTGTTCTCTCCTCTCCGCACAGGCTACACAAACGCCTCACACCGCGTGGCTGCTGCCTCTCTAACCTGGTGGTCCCTGCACGCACCACACACCTGGAGTTCCAGGTCTCAGGCAGCCTCTGGAACTGCCGTTCTGCTGCCAACAAGGCTGACTTCATCCCAGCCTATGCTACCCTCCAGTCCCTCGACTTCCTGGCGCTGACGGAAACATGGATTACCACTGAAAACACTGCTACTCCTACTGCTCTCTCCTCGTCTGACCATGTGTTCTCGCATACCCCGAGAGCATCTGGTCAGAGGGGTGGTGGCACAGGAATCCTCATCTCTCCCAAGTGGACATTCTCAATTTTTCCCCTAACCCATCTGTCTATCTCCTCATTTGAATTCCATGCTGTCACAGTCACTAGCCCATTTAAGCTTAATATCCTTGTCATCTATCGCCCTCCAGGTTCCCTTGGAGAGTTCATCAATGAGCTTGACGCCTTGATAAGTTCCTTTCCTGAGGATGGCTCACCCCTCACAGTTTTGGGGGATTTCAACCTCCCTACATCTACATTTGACTCATTTCTCTCTGCCTCCTTCTTTCCACTCCTCTCCTCTTTTGACCTCACCCTCTCACCGTCCCCCCCTACTCACAAGGCAGGCAATACGCTTGACCTCATCTTTACTAGATGCTGCTCTTCTACTAATCTCACTGCAACTCCCCTCCATGTCTCCGACCACTACTTTGTATCCTTTTCTCTCTCGCTCTCCTCCAACACTACTCACTCTGCCCCTACACAGATGGTAATGCGCCGCCGCAACCTTCGCTCTCTCTCTCCCACTACTCTCTCCTCTTCCATCCTATCATCTCTTCCCTCTGCTCAATCCTTCTCCCTCCAATCTCCTGATTCTGCCTCCTCAACCCTCCTCTCCTCCCTTTCTGCATCCTTTGACTCTCTGTGTCCCCTATCCTCCCGGCCGGCTCGGTCCTCCCCTCCAGCTCCGTGGCTTGATGACTCATTGCGAGCTCACAGAACAGAGCTCCGGGCAGCTGAGCGGAAATGGAAGAAAACTAG